AGCCTAATTTGTCCACGGGCATGCTAATTTTGCTTAAATGTTTTTCCATTAAATGTGATTTACCTTCCTTGGAAAGAATCTGTCTTTTAGGGATTCTTATCAACAAGTCAGTGTTTTTTTTATGCATGTTTTAGTCCTATAAGAAATGTTCCACCATCACACAGAACCATTGATGTCTAGACAGTGTTTATGTGCCACATACAGTGCCTTTGGAAAGTATTCAGACCCCTTAACTTTTTCCACATTTTGTTACAACCTTTATTCTAAAATGGATCATTTTTTAAATTCTTTTATCCTCAGCAATCTACACACAATACCCAAGAAAATGAGAAAGCAAAAAAAGGTTTTTAGAAATGTTCGCAAATGTATTAAAATAAAAAAAAAGTACCTTACTTACATAAGTATTCAAACCCTTTGCTATGAGACTTGAAATTGAGCTCAGGTGCGTCCTGTTTCCATTGATCATCCTTGAGATGTTTCTACATCTTGATTGGAGTCCACCTGTGGTAAATTCAATTGATTGGACATGATTTGGAAAGGCACACACCTGTCTATATAAGGTCCCACAGTTGACAGTGCATGTCAGAGAAAAAACCAAGTCGTGGAATTGTCCGTAGAGCTCCGAGACAGGATTGTGTCGAGTTACAGATCTGGGGAAGGGTACCAAAAAATGTCTGCAGCACTGAAGGTCCCCAAGAACAGTGGCCTCCATCGTTCTTAAATTGAAGAAGTTTGGAACCACCAAGACTCTTCCTAGAGCTGGCCGCCTGGCCAAACTGAGAAATCGGGGGAGAAGGTCCTTGGTCAGGGTGGTGACCAAGAACCCAATGGTCACTCTGACAGAGCTCTAGAGTTCCTCTGTGGAGATGGGAGAACCTTCCAGAAGGACAACCATCTCTGCAGCACTCCACCAATCAGGCCTTTATGGTAGAGTGACCAGACGGAAGCCACTCCTCAGTAAAAAGGCACGACAGCCCGCTTGGAGTTTGCCAAAAGGTACCTAAAGACTCTCAGACCATGAGAAACAAGATTCTCTGGTCTGATGAAACCAAGATTGAACTCTTTAGCCTGAATGGCAAGCGTCACGTCTGGAGGAAGCCTGGTACCATCCCTATGGGGAAGCGTGGTGGCAGCATCATGCTTTGGGGATGTTTTTCAGCAGCAGGGATTGGGAAACTAGTCAGGATTGAGGCAAAGTTGAACGGAGCAAAGTACAGAGAGATCCTTGATGAAAACCTGCCCCAGAGCGCTCAGGACCTCAGACTGGGGCGAAGGTTCACCTTCCAACAGGACAACAACCCTAAGCACACAGCCAAGACAACGCGGAAGTGGCTTCGGGACAAGTCTCTGAATGTCCTTGAGTGGCCCAGCCAGAGCCCGGACTTCAACCCGATCGAACGTCTCTGGAGAGACCTGAAAATAGCTGTGCAGCGACGTTCCCCATCCAACCTGACAGAGCTTGAGAGGATCTGCATAGAAGAATGGGAGAAACTCCCCAAATACAGGTGTGACAAGCTTGTAGTGTCATACCCAAGAAGACTCTAGGCTGTAATCGCTGCCAAAGGCGCTTCAACAAAGTACTGAGAAAAGGGTCTGAATACTTATGTAAGTGTGATATTTCCGGTTTTTATTTTTAATAAACTTGCAAAAAATTCTAAAAACCTATTTTTGCTTTGTCATTATGGGGTATTGTGTGTAGATTAATGAGGGGAAAAAATCAATTTGATCAATTTTAGAAAAGGCAACTGTGGAAAAAGTACTGTACATCTGAGTTTAAGGGCCCAGTCCACAAACAAACCCCTAGCCCCTACCCCCTGGCCACAGGCGTGGTTACACGTGGTCTGCAGTTGTGAGGCCGGTTGGACGTACTGCCAAATTCTCTAAAACGATTTTGGAGAGGCAGCTTAGAAATGAAATTTACATTATCTGGCAACAGCTCTGGTGGACATTCCTGCCGTCAGCATGCCAATTGCATGCTTCCTCAACTTGAGACATCTGTGGCATTGTGTTGTGTGACAAAACTGCACATTTTAGTGGCCTTTTATTGTCCCCAGCACAAGGTGAACCTGTGTAATGATCATGCTGTTTAATCTGCTTCTAGATATGCCACACCTGTCAGGTGGATGCATTATCTTGGCAAAAGAGAAATGCTCACTAACAGGGATGTAAACAAATTTGTGCAAAACATTTGACAGAAATTATATTTTTATGCCTATGGATAATTTCTGGGATCTTTAATTTCAACTCATGAAACATGGGACTAACACTTTACATGTTGTGTTTTATATTTCAGTATAGATCTGATGAAAAATTGAATAGGTAGCCTATAGCGAGATGGTAATTTAGTAGCTCAACCTTGCCTTTGATAAGATATTTAATTTTCACCATATTGCTAATCAATAATGTCCTATCTACATGAAGTTGCAAGGGATTAGAGACTAGGACTGGGTCTAGGTCGGTGGGAAGCAGTCTGGTGACTGGTCTCTGTGGGACACAGCTGCCATGAGGCCCATGCAAGCCTGTTAGTGCTGTCACAGGTGTTATTGCCACACCCTGGGGGACAGTGGATTAACCTCCCTGTAAACAGGGGCCACTGTGTCACCAGGGCCCGAGGCGTGGGATCCACTGACACACACACACACACACCCGGCCAAAGGGCAGCCCCACACCTGCAGGAGCCTGGATCTGGCCTGGCCCCAGCAGCTGAGCATCCCAGACAGACACCCCACCTCTCCTTTCACCCAATGGGGATCTCCAGGGAGCGAGCATTGCCTTTCTTGGAGGTTGTGCGTCAGTGCTATGCTGTGCGTTCCTAAGCAGAAATGCAGCAGGTATTTCTGTGAAGTAACTCCTGTTTGTTTTGACTTGTCGGTCTAAGGAGAATATGTTGGCTCATGAGACATTGGTTCATTATGACTCACCGTGATTGATGTAATTAGGACTGACTTCCAATAGCTCTCATTAGGTGTTGTGTTTGACTGACACAATGCAATATTTACGGTGTGTTTGGTTTGGCATGTCTTGACTTGTCTCCCTCCCTCAATGTCTACTTAACATGACTGATTCCTTTCATATGTACTGCTACAGTGTCTTACGAAAGTATTCACCCCCCTTGGCATTTTTCCTATTTTGTTGCCTTACAACCTGGAATTTAAATGTTTTTTTCTGGTGGTTTGTATAATTTGATTTACAGAACATGCCTACCACTTTGAAGATGCAAAATATTTTTTTATTGTGAAACAAACAAGAAATAAGACAAAAAAACAGAACTTGAGCGTGCATAACTATTCACCCCCCCAAAGTCAATACTTTGTAGAGCCACCTTTTGCAGCAATTACAGCTGCAAGTCTCTTGGGGTATGTCTCTATAAGCTTGGCACATCTAGCCACTGGGATTTTGCCCATTCTTCAAGGCAAACTGCTCCAGCTCCTTCAAGTTGGATGGGTTCCGCTGGTGTACAGCAATCTTTAAGTCATACCACAGATTCTCAATTGGATTGAGGTCTGGGCTTTGACTAGGCCATTCCAAGACATTTAAATGTTTCCCCTTAAACCACTCAAGTGTTGCTTTAGCAGTATGCTTAAGGTCATTGTCCTGCTCCGTCCCAGTCTCAAATCTCTGGAAGACTGAAACAGGTTTCCCCTCAAGAATTTCCCTGTATTTAGCGCCATCCATCATTCCTTCAATTCTGACCAGTTTCCCAGTCCCTGCTGATGGAAAAACATCCCCAAGGCATGATGCTGCCACCACCAAGCTTCACTGTGGGGATGGTGTTCTCGGGGTAATGAGAGGTGTTGGGTGTGCGCCAGACATAGCATTTTCCTTGATGGCTAAAAAGCTCAATTTTAGTCTCATCTGACCAGAGTACCTTCTTCCATATGTTTGGGGAGTCTCCCACATGCCTTTTGGCAAACACCAAACGTGTTTGCTTATTTTTTTCTTTAAGCAATGGCTTTTTTCTGGCCACTCTTCTGTAAAGCCCAGCTCTGTGGAGTGTACGGCTTAAAGTGGTCCTATGGACAGATACTCCAATCTCCGCTGTGGAGCTTTGCAGCTCCTTCAGGGTTATCTTTGGTCTCTTTGTTGCCTCTCTGATTAATGCCGACCTTGCCTGGGCCGTGAGTTTTGGAGGGCGGCCCTCTCTTGGCAGGTTTGTTGTGGTGCCATATTCTTTCCATTTTTTTATAATGGATTTAATGGTGCTACGTGGGATGTTCAAAGTTTCTGATCTTTTTTTATAACCCAACCCTGATCTGTACTTCGCCACAACTTTGTCTCTGACCTGTTTGGAGAGTTCCTTGGTCTTCATGGTGCCGCTTGCTTGGTGGTGCCCCTTGCTTAGTGGTGTTGCAGACTCTGGGGCCTTTCAGAACAGGTGTATATATACTGAGATCATGTGACAGATCATGTGACACTTAGATTGCACACAGGTGGACTTTATTTAACTAATTATGTGACTTCTGAAGGTAGTTGGTTGCACCATATCTTATTTAGGGGCTTCATAGCAAAGGGGGTGAACACGTATGCACGCACCACTTTTCCGTGATTTATTTTGTCATCTTTTGAAACAATATATTATTTTCATTTCACTTCACCAATTTGGACTATTTTGTGTATGTCCATTACATGAAATCCAAATAAAAATCCATTTAAATTACAGGTTGTAATGCAACAAAATAGGAAAAACGCCAAAGGGGATGAATACTTTTGCAGGGCACTGTATATTCTCTTTTTAGACCTGCTGCTGAAATTAGTCAGGTTGGCCTGGATGTGAAGTGAAAGTTGAGACTTGAATGGTGATTGTTGTCTTACAAAATGCAAAAGACATGTTCTTATTTGCCTTCCAGATGAGAGAGCATTTTATTGGTTTCTCTCCACCTAGCTCCACCATCATGTTTCTCATATCATGGTCTAACAAGTCTTAAACAATGTAACACCAAAAAAGAGACAGAACTTCATCCTAATCTAACTCGACTTCTCTCCGATGGTTTTGTCCAGATGACGGTTGTGGCCACTCAGTGCTGGGCCCAGAGAGCGGTGTCCTCTCCTCTAAGAGCTACCCGGGCACCTACCCCAACAATACCTGGTGTGAGTGGAAGATCCATGTGCCAAAGGGCAACAGCCTAGTCATCAGGTTTGGAGACCTCGACGTGGAGGCACGGGACTGCCAGTCGGACTACGTCAAGGTCCTCAAAGGGGGCTACGGGGGAGAACATGGTGAGTCTGAGTCAACCAACTTGGCCTTGGCTATTGTCTCTCTGGGTCTATGAGCGGATGTATGAACTAGCTAGCTAGCTGTGGTGTTGGTGGTTCTACACAGAACAGTCTTCACAACATTCCTTCCCCACAGATGTCGGACTGCGCTTCCCTATTCACTTAGCCAAGGAACGAGTTCTTGTGGGGGATTTGTCTATATATAGAGAGCTGGAGGAGGGAGCGGATGTCTCTGTTGCAGTTGAGAACAGCCTTACACAAAGAGGAAGGTGTGGATGATCATGCTGGTCTGAGGAAATTCAAGCCCACAGTGTGTTCTATTAAAGTCTTTCTGTTACCTTGATCTCTGTGCTTTGATGGGGTTTGAATATACATCTTGGTGGGTTTGACAAGTGCAATTGTTAGTGAGTTTGACAAGTGCTATTGACAAAAGTTGGAGGTAACAGAGAGAAGAAGTGCTCAGGGCTTTGCAACAGATATGTAGAATGTTTGAGTTGAATAGACAGGCCTTACAGATAGTGTGCTCTTAACTGACTCTTAACTCAATTTCTTTACAGTGATTGTCATACATTTGTTAGAGGTCAATCAATTTGTGTTGAACAAATTTAAGGAAACCGTGACACAAGTGTGTACAACATGTGAGACGCAACTGCCACCTCACCTGACCATTAGTCATAGCATATCTGACAAGCAAGAAAACGTCTGTCGGCTGTTAGCAGAGCATAGCCCCACACAGAAGCATTTGTCATGCAGCACTTTGGCAGGAAGTCTATCCTCCAGCCTGCCACTACTACTGGGCTGGAGTGAGGCTGGGGTGAAGAGCAGGATATAGGCTGAGGGTAATGTTGAGCTGCCAGATCCATCATAATGTAGTGAATGATCATCATGCTCATGTTGCAACCCACCCACGGCTGAGGTTACCAGTACAGAGGCCAGGGTGTCCGAGGCCCTTTGAAACCTCAGTGGTGAAACACTGCATGCCTTGGCTTCTCCCCTCAACAGCTTTCTGGTGGAAGTATTCCATTACCAGGTTTCACAACGTGTGTTGCTCGTAAATATCCATAGGATATTTACAGTATCCCATTCCCAGTCATACTTTTCTAACATTAAATCATGTCAGGACCTTCAAAGTGCTATTTTCACACTTTTTTGAAACTCTTTCTTATCTGACCCTTCTAATGTTCCATAGGACAATAGGATTGAGGAATGTATTTGTTCATCATGAAATCCCTCGGTGTTGTTGACGTGTAGTACAGTGAGTCGGTGGATATAGTAATTTCCATCCGGAGGCTGTGGCTTCCATGGCGCTGACTGGTGGAGGCATCGTGTTTCATCATGGTTGTCAGGTGAAAGCAAAGCCACAAAGGCCATGGAGACCAAGAACAACCAGCACTGGCTGCCTGGCTGAGTCCCTCTCATTGGAAACGGCCCTGGGCACTAGGCTGGCCTGGGCATTTCTCTCTCCCATCTCTTTGTCTGCCCTGCAAATTATTTACAGTGAGATTCCTGTCTCTGACAAAAGGGAAGCATTTTTCCTCCTGTGTGAAAGGGAGAGCGGAAGAGCGGTTCAGATGACATGATGTGGTTTGGCTTGTTGGGGCTGAAAATAGAGCGCATGTTGGTGAGGTCTGGAGGGACAAACATCCCCGGTGGGAGGGAGGGGTAGGGGGACCCTGTAGATAGCAGGTCAGACCCTGTCCGTGACCTCCGATATGGTGGCAGTGTTTTCCGATAATATGCAATTTTTTGCTCTATTTTGGTGGCCTCTGTTACATTCTAATGCCTTGATTCCATCTGAAATACATAGCTAAATTATTGAATACTTTGAGTTTACCTCCCAGATTGGTAAAAAGAGTTGAGTAGAAAGACAATTAAAATGACTGAAAATGTACTGTATGAATTCAGTGTATTGTTAGTTGTTTTGGATATTGTCTAGACCTATATGATCAGGACTATTTTCTGTTAAAGAGAACATTAAACCTGTGTTCTCTTGAGTAGTGTTGCATGGTATACCGAAACGTGTACTTTTTCAACAAAAAAAAAGGTTCGGTACTAGAATTCTTGTTACGTTTGAGACTTCTGTCAAATGCGTCTCACGTGATGGGGTGGATCAAGTCTATCAGTGCAGCCCCTTTTTATAGTGCAAAGAGCAAAGTGCCTGCTCCACTTTCTCATTCATTGCTAGAGTTGTCTGGGCTGTTGTCAGCTCTCCAGTCCCCACCACAGGAGGTTGGTGGAACCTTAATTGGGGAGGACGGGCTCGTGATAATGGCTGGAGTGGAATAGGTGTAATGGTCTCAAATACATCAAACACATGGTTTCCATGTGTTTGATGCCATTCCATTTGCTATTTTCCAGCCATTTATTATCAGCCGTCCTCCCCTCAGCAGCCTCCACTGGTCCCCACTCATGCTGCACAAAAGTTTACACACTTGAATATTGCAACACGGTATGTAGAAATGTTTAAACTGTTCATTACTGTTCGCAAAAAACTATGTCCATACAGGCTAGAAAACTTTTCAAATGCAAGACGATACTGGTAGCTTCCAGCTTTAATTTTAGGCTAACCTTCCTTGCTAGCTTACAGCTGAATTCACTGCCTAGTAGTACTTTGTTTGTGATAATATGCAAACCACAAAGCAGAATATGCTGATTTCAAAGCTGACTGTCTCCAAAAACGTTATTAATCCACTTCGTCTCCCTCGCCACCAAAAACGAATTCACTTCTTCTTCCTTTGCTTTCCTGGTTTCCACTAGATTCAATAGTCAGATTCCACAGACACATTCTGCCTGGCGAATGACGTCATTCATTTCTTAAAGAGGGAGCGCACACTTTTAGAAAAGAGATTGCATCTTCTATGCAAATGTTGTTAATCAGTACAATAAAATAAGTCCTAAATGGAGGGGATTATTTGTCATCTGTAGCCCTATGAAATCAGCTAAAATAAGCTCAATAACTCAATTCATGCACACACTCCTATTGAATAATATTTATTCACCTGTATTCTGAATAGAGCTAGGCTACATCTTGATTTGCCCAGTTTATCAATAGAGATTTACCATTCAAATAAATGATTACCATTATGTTGTTTTTTAGTTAGATTGGTAAAAACAAAGTCAAATAGATTTTACAATTAATGCGTACTTGGCTGTCTCAAAAAAATGACTTTGGCTAATATGTATTTTTTCTTTTTTGTGGTATTGTTTTTGTATGAGTATCGTGATGGTATTGAGCATTGTGATACTAAACCTGGTATCGGTATCGAAGTCCAAATTCTGGTATCGTGACCACACTGCTCTTGAGATTAAAGTCATATTTACATTTTTACTGCAAGATATGGATTGCCACAATGATGTTTGTTCTTCAAATTATGTATTTTATTAAAGGTCCAATGCAGCCGTTTTTATCTCAATATTAAATCATTTCTGGGTAACAATTAAGTACCTTACTGTGATTGTTTCTTTTTGACCATTTTAATTAAAAAACAAAAATTGATTCTTAGCAAAGAGCAATTTCTCAAGCAAGAATTTTGCTAGGACTGTCTGGGGTGGTCTGAGGGGGAGGGGGAAACTGAAAACTAGCTGTCATTGGCAGACAGGTTTGAAACTCTTTTTCTTATTGGTCTATTAACTAATTTACCGCCTGGTGATGTCACCAGGCAGGCCAAAATGCCATCCCACCAAAACAGGCTGAAATTTCAGGCAGTCTTTTCAAACAGCATTATCATCATGTTCACAATTTCACAGTATTATTCCAACCTAGATAGAGAGATACAGTTGAAGTCGGAAGTTTACATACACCTTAGCCAAATACATTTAAACTCAGTTTTTCACAATTCCTGACATTTAATCCTAGTAAAAATTGCCTGTTTTAGGTCTGTTAGGATCACCACTTTATTTTAAGAATGTGAAATGTCAGAATAATAGTAGAGTGATTTATTTCAGCTTTTATTTATTTCATCACATTCCCAGTGGGTCAGAAGTTTACATACACTCAATTAGTATTTGGTAGCATTTCCTTTAAATTGTTTAACTTGGGTCAAACGTTTCAGGTAGCCTCCCACAAGCTTCCCACAATAAGTTGGGGCTGACGTTTGGCAACTCGAACCTTCAGCTCCCTCCACAGATTTTCTATGGGATTAAGGTCTGGAGACTGGCTAGGCCACTCCAGGACCTTAATGTGCTTCTTCTTGAGCCACTCCTTTTGTTGCCTTGGCCGTGTGTTTTGGGTCATTGTCATGTTGAAATACCCATCCACAACCCATTTTCAATGCCCTGGCTGAGGGAAGGAGGTTCTCACCCAAGATTTGACGGTACATGGCGCCCCCCCGTCCATCGTCCCTTTGATGCGGTGAAGTTGTCCTGTCCCCTTAGCAGAAAAACACCCCCAAAGCATAATGTTTCCACCTCCATGTTTGACCGTGGGGATGGTGTTCTTGGGGTCATAGGCAGCATTCCTCCTCCTCCAAACATGGCGAGTTGAGTTGATGCCAAAGAGCTCGATTTTGGTCTCATCTGACCACAACACTTTCACCCAGTTCTCCTCTGAATCATTCAGATGTTCATTGGCATACTTCAGACGGGCATGTATATGTGCTTTCTTGTGCAGGGGGACATTGCGGGCGCTGCAGGATTTCAGTCCTTCACGGCGTAGTGTGTTACCAATTTGTTTTCTTGGTGACTATGGTCCCAGCTGCCTTGAGATCATTGACAAGATCCTCCCGTGTAGTTCTGGGCTGATTCCTCACCGTTCTCATGATCATTGCAACTCCACGAGGTGCGATCTTGCATGGAGCCCCAGGCCGAGGGAGATTGACAGTTCTTTTGTGTTTCTTCCATTTGCGAATAATCGCACCAACTGTTGTCACCTCCTCACCAAGCTGCTTGGCGATGGTCTTGTAGCCCATTCCAGCCTTGTCTACAATCTTGTCCCTGACATCCTTGGAGAGCTCTTTGGTCTTGGCCATGGTGGAGAGTTTGGAATCTGATTGATTGATTGCTTCTGTGGACGGGTGTCTTTTATACAGGTAACAAACTGAGATTAGGAGCACTCCCTTTAAGAGTGTGCTCCTAATCTCAGCTCGTTACCTGTATAAAAGACACCTGGGAGCCAGAAATCTTTCTGATTGAGAGGGGGTCAAATACTTATTTCCCTCATTAAAATGCAAATCAATTTTTTTTTAAATTTACATGAATTTTTCTGGATTTTTTTGTCGTTATTCTGTCTCTCACTGTTCAAATAAACCTACCATTAAAATGATAGACTGATCATTTCTTTGTCAGTGGGCAAACGTACAAAATCAGCAGGGGATCAAATATTTTTTTCCCTCACTGTACATTACATAGGACATGTAAATTCACTCACAGGAGACGATAAATAAGCATCATGAAAATAAATTTGACTGCAACCAACCACAGCGCACAAATTTTGCACAGGTACAGAGACACAGGACAGCCAGCAGACTGACGAACCAGCAGTTTCGCTTTGTGACTGACAGGCACCTGTCCTATAAATAGAAGACGATGCATATCATTCATTCTAGCGAGAGAGGGCTATACAGACTTTTCTGACTAGTGAATTTAAACTTTAAAATGAAAAGTAGCCCAGTTAATTTATGAAGTGGGCACTTAAGGAAAACACTGTGGTGGAATATGAAATAAGGTCACATTGCTGTCAAAATGGTCAATGGTTGTTTTGATAAACCTGTCATTCTCTCGTGTTGCAGTGTATGGGACGTTCTGTGGCAGCTTGAAGTCCTACCCCAGAGAGATGCACACAGACTCAAATGAGGTCATCGTACAGTTCCGCAGCGGGCGTCACATCTCCGGCCGAGGGTTCCTTCTCTCCTACTCCACTGGGGACAACAGAGGTTTGAGGCTCTTCCTCCAGATCTAGAACTACACCTAAACTAATGGTTATGCTGTTTTAATATTGAAGTCTGAATGTGGCATCTGTGTCCTGTTCTGTCCGTCTTGGTTGGCGGACAGTCAGTGCTACTGGTAAACCAATCAGCTTTGCCACATGCCACGGCTTGCCTTTCCTCTTCTTTTCTCTGCGCAGGGTGAACCCGGAGCTGTTGGGGCTGTTTCTACAGGCATCGTTTTCAAACACAGCATAGACCGCTGTTAATCAGACCATATTGAATAAGACACACCATTCACACACAGCGTGCTGATCCAGGAGATTATAGGAGTCAGTTTACAAACTGGTTTTGGTGGATATGCCTGTTTCCACCGTTGTTGTTGTTAACCAAAGCATAATGTAGATGACAGTTGGTCGCTAACATGCTGACCAAACCGTCTGCGTGCGCCATCGTGCGCATGTTGATTTTGTCTATCCCCATTAGACGCGTTCATGACACGCAGGTTAAAATACCAAAACCAACTGTGAACCAACTATATTAAGTTGGGGACAGGTCGAAACACACATGAAACATTCATGGACATTTAGCTAGCTTGCTGTTGCTAGCTATTTTGTCCTGGGAGATAACCATTGGGTTGTTATTTTACCTGAAATGCATATGGTCCTTTTTTTTGTTGCTATATCTTTGTAGACGTTTGACCCATTTTGAGTCGTACAAAATTGTGTGTTCTCTACTCTGACAATTAATCCACAGATAAAAAGGGGAAACCTAGTTTGTTTTGTTTGATTCATCTCTCCTCGTTCATCCTTCTTCTGTGGATTTTATATGGCGGTTGGCAACCAACTTTAAGGTGTGTTATCGCCACCAACTGGACTGGAGTGTGGACTTTATTCATCTTTCAATCACCCACATGGGTATACGCTCTTAAAAAAACATTGAGTAGATGGGAGAGGTGGGACTTGAAGCACGTCAAGTGTCTAAAATAAAGTGATATTTTTGTGCCTGGCAATGCAGACGCGTGCGAGCAGTTTGGATGAAATGATTAATAACATGTATGTGTACATTTATTTTGCAACACTCACGCACGCAACGCGGCCGGTTTGGTCAGCATGTAAGAGCAATGTGTGTGTGTGTGGGTGTACATTAATCTTTATCCCAGAGGGAGTGAAGGAACCAGGGTCTTCATCCTGTTGTTCTAGTAGTGTCCTGTTATGGTCCTTTCTGCTCACATGGCTGGTTTCCTCTGTCTGCTCTACTCTGAAGCCACTCATTGTCTCTCTTCTCTCTCCTGTTTTTTTTCCTCAGATCTGCTTACATGTTTAGACAAAGGCAGCCATTTCTCAGACTTAAAGTACAGGTAAGGGTGTTTCATATGTAGGGATGTGTGTCTGAGACCAGTCAATGTCTTTCTTTGTGGCCTTCATGAACTGTAATGGCAATAGAATATTAGATTGATCATGGGCCTTAAAGGAAAATATTACCCCTTGTTACCCATCAGCTAGTCAAAGATAGCTTCTCATTTCCTCAATATTCTGAAATATTTATACAATTTAGATTCAAGTATCTTATACAATATGTCTCCACTAAGTCCATTTTGTCCACTTAGGGTGTTGTAATGTTGGTGTCTCTGGTGTGAAGAGATCACTCACTGAACTGTGTCTATTGTTGTCTACCCTCACAGGAAGTACTGTCCGGCAGGATGCAAGGCAGTGGCGGGTGACATATCCGGGGACATTTCCCAGGGTTATAGACATGTAAGTAAAATTCTATGACTGTCCTCAAAGGTAGCCTACTGCATGCTTTTTACTCTATGTTCCCAGGTTTGTAAAAGCAGACAGAAATGCTGTTTCGTCGCTGCCTCCTCCCTGGGGAAAGTGTAACCACAGACATTGGTTTGGGGATTAGTTATTTACGAGGCATCAGTGTGTCCTTCGAAGCCTTGGCAGCACTGTGGCCCTGACAGTTTCTAGTCCCCTGAAGCAGCCAGTCAGCCACGCATGTGTTAATTTACCCTTGATTACATTAGGCTGTCCTTTCTTCTGTCAGAGGAACACAACTGTTCAGAGGCCCCACTTAGACCAGCACCGTACTCCACCCACAGGTGCTTAGAGTAGTAGTAGTAGGTTTACTGAATGGGCCCTTGTTAGCCAGAGAAACAGACACACCAAAAGCTGGATATGAGGAGTTGGCCCCAGGCTAACCATTTGTTGCTGGTGCTTTTTTCTGGCTCCTGCTGTGGAAGTGGTTGTGATTTGTTGTGACACTACTGTGTTGCCCGAGGGTGCTTGTTGTGTCATTTCTCCCTCAGGGTTCATAGTGGGGGGTGGTGGACTGGGCTCTTTGTTCCCCTGAGTCACCCCTGCCCTCCCCCAACAAACAAACACACACACACACATAGTGGTTGTGGAGGTATATTGGATGGGTAATCTGTTTATGTAACTGCAGTGCATTTTTCCTCAGCAGCAGTGCTGGGTTTTGCTGTTTAGTAGGTTGCATCACAGGCCAAGCCACAGAAGCAAGGCTGTAAAACAAAAAATAGTGATTGTGTAACTGGCTTAGGGCTCTTGTACTGTAGAATGCTTTAGGCTCCTTACACATATTTAGAGCTAGAGATTTCCGCCCTTTCAGTGTAATACCTGGAAATAGTAGCTAGAGAGTAATACCATAAGATGTGTAATACTGAGGTAAACAGCCAAACACACACAGACTAAGCACTTAAGAACTAAGCTCTGTGAGGAAGTTCTGGTCACTGACATCCAGAGTCACTAAAGAACCGTAGTTTTACCAGCCCTCCCACATATGGGCTTAGGACATATAAAATCAATTATAGGATCTCTACGGGGCTCTGGATCCATGTCATGTGGGCCCCCTGGAGGGGATCAACCCCAGTGGTAGCCCTCCTGCCCTGTCCAGCCCTGCCTTGCTGGTGTATCGAAAAAGAGAGGGGTTTTTCAGACCAGGGGCTTTACATTTTACATTTTAGTTATTTAGCAGACGCTGTTATCCAGAGCGACTTACAGTTAGTGAGTGCATACATTTTCATACTGGCCCCCCGTGGGAAACGAACCCTGGCGTTGCAAGCGTCATGCTCTACCAACTGGCCTTCCCGGCCTCCTGAGGGTCTGCTCTCTCTTAGGCGTGATCAGGGCTATTGAGTGACCAGCGGTCAGTGTGACAATGTGACAGACAGCTTCAGGCTTAGGAAGCCCAGCAGGGAGCCCAATCCCCACAACAATAGGCTGCTGAAGGAGCACAATAACAGAGAACTTCCCAACGTTCCACCGTCTGCTGCTGGGAAGAAGCATGGGCGTCGAGTGCTGGGGGACCGAACCATAGAGCTCGGCTCCAGAGCGATTTGATTAGTCCACGTTGGCTATTGTGTAGTGAGGGTTTGGTGGAGGGCCTAGATTATGAGGAGATAAAGCCTGTGGAACAGAAGGTGTTTATCTGTCCACTGCACCCTTTCAATAGACACGGTCATTAGCATTTAGACTAACACAACATTTTGTATGTGTTCTGGGCAGTTTGTTGTATGGTATTAATGGTTCCTCAGAGTATATTTGGTATAACCATTCGCATTGTGGATATTTATTTTATACACTGCATATAGGTAATTCATATGTCATCATTCCGTGTTAAGGAGCACTGTAAGTAAATGAATCATTTAGCAATATATTTTGTTTTTTGAAAGGTAATTTGTCTATTTAGTTAGTGAATATGACCCTTGGGCATTGACAGTAGGGAAGTAAGTAACAGTTGATGGTTCCTCTCCTACTGTGTGGCGTTAATTCCCCCTGCTGCTAAAATGGTAAATGTTTTTCTGAAATAGTCTGCAGAGGTATAGACAAGAAGGTTACCACATGGCCAATCTCAGTTAGAACCAGACAGTCCTTGGCTGAGGTGTTAAAGCCATTATCTAGTCTATTATGTCCCTACTAGTAGCGGCAGCAGCAGCCTTGAACCCAGCCCTGCTCCAACACCAGTCCATGATTAGTCTCTAGACATAACTCTGACTGGGGACCATTATCTAATAAACTAACTACCAGAGCGTATCCATCTGCTCCACCGGCAGACTGACAGACAGACAGACAGGCAGGCAGCAGGGCAGAGTTCTCTGTATTTACGGTGTCCTGCCCAGCAGTATATAAAGGATCAGGGTAATAATAATGAGGCGGTTAAATCTGACCCCAGAGCAGCTGTTAGTCCAGATAAGAGACAGCCTCTGTAAAGCAGGTCCTCAGGTTCCCAGCCACTGGCCCGCTTATGGGATCTGTGCCATAGAGTTGTCGAGCAGCAGCCCTCCCTCCCTCCATCCCCCACCCAGCATAGAATATGTACTCAGTGCTCACCCATAACACCTAGTTGCCAGACCAGCCTGTCTAGAATCTAGCTTGTCTGTAATGGCTTTTTACATGGAAAGGGAGGAAATTGCTGCAGGCTGAAATGAGCCCGAACTGATTTTTGCACCGAGCTTTCACCTTATCCCCATCTTAAAGTTAGTTTATATTTGTTTGTTTTTCACATTTGAATAACAATATGTTTTCAGTAATTAATTGTTTTGTCTCTATTAATGTGTTTGAGTGCTTGTTTCAATTGATCCTTGATAGACCCTAATGGAGAATGTTATCGGCAGAGCTCGGATACATTTTTACAGTGCTCCAGTGATTGCCATGTTAATTGTAAGTCATCAATTGTAAGTCATCAACCCTGTCTTTTGGAGGAAATGTCTGTTTTATACTCTTATCTCTCAAAGAGGTCATTCCTACCTGACCCAGCCCTTCATTTCAGCAGCAAGGTGGGGCATTCACTGAGAGGTAGCCAGCTAGCTATTTCCAGAGCTATGATCTGTGACAAGGTACTGCTTTTCTAAGTAACACACCACCGAGAAGTATGTTTGACATTCCTCCTATAGCTACAATTACCGTCGTCCCTGAATGCAATCACAATGTTTCGTGACCTACACGGTCTTGATGAAATTGTTTTTGCCATACGTAGTGTGTCTGTGTGGTAGCGGTTCCAGAGTTTGGCTAGCTCACGGTCAGACTTCTCCCACCCTCACTGTGTTTAGTCATGATTGTTATCTGTGCTGTCTGTCTGTGTAATATATCATATCTCTCTGCATTCAGACGTCTGTGCTGTGTAAGGCTGCGGTCCATGCCGGGGTTATCCTGGATGAGTTAGGGGGCTGGGTATCCGTGGAGACCCAAAAAGGCCTGAGTCACTACCCCGCCACCAGAGCCAATGGGATCCAGTCCAAAGAGTGAGTACTGGGGAATGACATGCCATGATTAAGAGGATAGGCAGTACAACAGCAGTAGAATGAATGTTAGGCATTATATGTTTCCCTTAACAGCACTAAAGGCTACTACTAAGGCTGCGTTTAGATAGGCAGCCCAATTCTGATCTTTTTTTCACAAATGTGTCTTTTGACCAATCAGATCATCTCTGAAAAATATCTGTTGTGAAAAGATCAGATGTGATTGGTCAAATTATCAGAATTGGGCTGCCTGTGTAAATGCAGCCTAAGCAGAGGTACCAATTGGTGTCCACAAACATTATCTACTGGCTTAGGATAATTCTTTGTAAGATTCTGAAGGAAATTGGTTGACAATAACTTTCCTAAAGGAACACAAACCTGCATGATGGGACACCTCATGTTCTTTGTCATCTCTGCTTTGAGTGTTAAATAAATGGCACATGCCCACTGCCCCTGACCTTGGCTAGTATACCTCAGTCAAAACAGGATTCATCAGGCAGGGCTAGCGGGCTAGCATTCCTGCTCTGTTTCAGCAATAAGATGAGCCAGCTCCTCGCTAATGTCAGAGACACTGAGTCTATTCTATGGCAATCACAGAGATTTATAATGGAGGTCTGAGGTGGCTGAGGAGAGAATAATATTGGCCATCACTAATTATTGGCTGCAGCGTATAGTTGCCTCACAAACATGTAATACAGTGGTGCATCTCTAATATTATGACAACAGAGTAAAGGCAAATGAGCCAGAAATAATTGGATTTGAGTCTTAAAGAAATGGCCATCACTCAAGCTGTCTGTAATATTCAGTGGGGCACAGGATTCTGTCATTTAGAAGTAATATATGCAAAGATAACCTGATAAGTTGTGCATATCACAAATAGGCTTCAGAGCCCTAAGGCCTATAGCTATGTGAATGCATTGAAGCTATAATGGCAAATAAAATTGAGTCATTTTGAAACGTATGGGTCAGATTTTCACAAATTGCATGGTATTGATTGGCCCACTATGCATATTGAACGCTGCTCATCATTCAATCACTTTCTTAATGTGTAAATGTCAACTATTATTATGTGTGTAGCAAATTAATCTTAACTGTACCTTTGTCCTACTGAACCTGTATATTAACATATTGTACACTGACGTTTCTTTATACAGTGCCTTGCAAAAGTATTCATCCCCCTTGGCATTTTTCCTATTTTGTTGCATTACAACCTGTAATTTAAATGGATTTTTATTTGGATTTCATGTAATCGACATACGCAAAATAGTCCAAATTGGTGAAGGGAAATGAAAAAAATAACTTGTTTCAAAAAATTCTACAAAATAAATAGCTGAAAAGTGGTGTGTGCATATGTAATAATAATAATATGCCATTTAGCAGACGCTTTTATCCAAAGCGACTTAGTCATGCGTGCATACATTTTTTTTGTGTATGGGTGGTCCCGGGGATCGAACCCACTACCCTGGCGTTACAAGCGCCATGCTCTACCAGCTGAGCCCCCTTTCATATGAAGCCCCTAAATAAGATCTGATGCAACCAATTACCTTCAGAAGTCACATAATCAGTTAGATTGCACACAGGTGGACTTTATTTAAGTGTCACATGATCTGTCACATGATTTCAGTGTATATATACACCTGTTCTGAAAGGCCCCAGTCTGCAACACCACTAAGCAAGGGGCACCACCAAGCAAGCGGCACCATGAAGACCAAGGAGCTCTCCAAACAGGTCAGGGACAAAGTTGTGGAGAAGTACAGATCAGGGTTGGGTTATAAAAAAATATCAGAAACTTTGAACATCCCACGGAGCACCATTTAAAATCCATTATAAAAAAATTGAAAGAATATGGCACCACAACAAACATGCCAAGAGAAGGCCGCTCACCAAAACTCACGGACCAGGCAAGGAGGGCATTAATCAGAGAGGCAACAAAGAGACCAAAGATCACCCTGAAGGAGCTGCAAAGCTCCACAGCAGAGATTGGAGTATCTGTCCATAGGACAACTTTAAGCCGTACACTCCACAGAGCTGGGCTTTACGGAACAGTGGCCAGAAAAAAGCTATTGCTTAAAGAAAGAAATAAGCAAACACGTTTGGTGTTCGCCAAAAGGCATGTGGGAGACTCCCCAAACATATGGAAGAAGGTACTCTGGTCAGATGAGACTAAAATTGAGCTTTTTGGCCATCAAGGAAAACGCAATGTCTGGCGCAAACCCAACACCTCTCATCACCCCGAGAAGACCATCCCCACAGTGGTTTGGTGGTGGCAGCATCATGCTGTGGGGATGTTTTTCATCGGCAGGGACTGGGAAACTGGTCAGAATTGAAGGAATGATGGATGGCGCTAAATACAGGGAAATTCTTGAGGGAAACCTGTTTCAGTCTTCCAGAGATTTGAGACTGGGACGGAGGTTCACCTTCCAGCAGGACAATGACCCTAAGCATACTGCTAAAGCAACACTCGAGTGGTTTAAGGGGAAACATTTAAATGTCTTGGAATGGCCTAGTCAAAGCCCAGACCTCAATCGAATTGAGAATATGTGGTATGACTTAAAGATTGCTGTACACCAGTGGAACCCATCCAACTTGAAGGAGCTGGAGCAGTTTGCCTTGAAGAATGGGCAAAATCCCAGTGGCTAGATGTGCCAAGCTTATAGAGACATACCCCAAGAGACTTGCAGCTGTAATTGCTGCAAAAGGTGGCTCTACAAAGTATTGACTTTGGGGGGGTGAATAGTTATGCATGTTCAAGTTCCGTTTTTTTGTCTTATTTCTTGTTTGTTTAACAATAAAAAATATTTTGCATCTTCAAAGTGGTAGGCATGTTGTGTAAATCAAATTATACAAACCACCAGAAAAATCCATTTAAATTCCAGGTTGTAAGGCAACAAAATAGGAAAAATGCCAAGGGGGGTGAATACTTTCGCAAGCCACTGTAGCAATGCTAACATATTCTATACAAAGGCATGTATATTTACAAATGCTTTGCTTCATTGCTTAATTGGATTCACTGGCTATACTGTACATGCACTGCTGAATTTAATATGTTCAGTATCTTTCTCTGGCTCCTTATAGACCTTGAGTATTTGTGGATTTCCCTTGAAAAGTGCTGTGTCGTCAAATCTACATAAAGTATAGTGCTGCTCTGTTGTAAATGTAAAACCCCAGCACATTTTCCAAATGCTTGGCCTTTGCTGAAAGGGGTGAATACTTGGGTTGTGTCAGAACACGTTGTTAACTGTAACACTCCAACTGTATTTAAGGTGGTATGAATGAAATGCAGAGAGGATTGGATGCTGTTAAGCCATTGTGTTAAGATAAGTTTGACATTTCCTCATGGGATTCTGCTGGATTTGGACATGAAAAATGTGGAAGAAAAGATGGTCATCCCTTTCACTTAATCAACCACAGCCCCATGCTTCCCACCTCTAGGGTGGCTGACGTTAAAGATGTAACAGTGTCTCTGGAAGAAAATATCAATATCTTGTTTGTAATATGAAAATGGATCATGTCAAACCAAGATGGACACCTGTGTGTTGTTCGTACTGTATCCGCGTTGTAGCAGGATCAGTTACATTTTGACTGAGATACTTAGATTATTTTGACACTCGAGTGAAATTTAGTACCCACATTAAAGCGTTTTATCTTTTGTAGTTTGACACGCCTCTCTAATCGTCCAAAAATATAATTTAACCACCACATCTGCTTTTCTGAACTGTTCAAAGACATCAGATTCAGGAAGCCAGTGAAAATGAGAGGTTGTTAAGTGATGGCTTTGAAAGATACAATTCTTCCAACTAGCCCCCTTTAATTCACACCAACTCTGGTGTCTTAATGTGTTCAGGTTAATCCCCTAGTTACAGGCAGCGAGGAGAGAAGAGACTCCACAGAGAGTGTAGGAGGACAGGGGAAACAAAGCACAGGGTCCTGGGTGAAGGCTGATTTGGGAAGAGAACGGGAGGGGTGACAATTTGTGGGATGCTCCTTTGTGGCCACAATGGGTGTTCCTCCACAATGGCAGGTCCTCAATGCATCACTGTTAATTGTAATCATTGAAGCTAACAGCCCACCATTGATGGAAATCTTATTTTTCTTCTTCCAGCGGTTCTTTGTCCGATGCTCTCTTCACGTTCGTCACTAATGGTAAGATTTGTTTTGTTCTCATTCGCTACTGATTTTATGCTCTTAAATATTTGTTTCTCAAACAACAATTTCTTAGGCTATTTTGTTTATCGCCGAAGAAAATGTGCTGCGTTTTCATCAGGCAGGAATTTGTCAATGCCTATCTACCACTTACTAAATGAAACATTTTATGCTGGAATTTCGGGACAATATGCTGATAGGTGTTGAAAAAGGGAAATAATTCACAGTCAACAAGTGCCAAACGGGCAAAATACCTACCTGATTTGGAAAAATTAAAGTTACCGTAGTCGCATCTTATCTTGGGAAACGTGGGAACCCCTTATCTCTTGTCTGTGTTTATTTTAATACGGCTGTTTGCAGTCTGGCACAGTTTCATCCAGTCAGTCAACTCTACCTGTGGAGATAGGCTCTGGCTATCTATCTCACAGCAGGCAGGCCTCCTGGGAACGCGCACAAATAATCACACTCACGTCATCCCAGAGACCCTGGACCCACTCCAATTTGCATACCGCACCAACAGATCCAAAGATTATGCAGTCTCTATTGCACTCCATACTGCCCTCTCCCACCTGGACAAGAGGAACACCTATGTGAAAATGCTGTTCATTGACTACAGCTCAGCGTTCAATACCATAGTGCCCTCCAAGCTCATCACCACGCTGATCCTCAACACAGGGGCCCCTCAGGGGTGTGTGCTGAGTCCCCTCCTGTACTCCCTGTTCACCCACAACTGCGTGGCTGCGCCCGACTCCAACAGCATCATTAAGTTTGCTGACGACACGACGGTGGTAGGAATGATCACCAACGATGATGATACAGCCTATAGGGAGGGGTCAGAGACCTGGCCGTGTGGTGCCAGGACAACAACCTCTGCCTCAATGTCAGCAAGACAAAGAAGCTGATCGTGGACTACAGGAAACAGAGGGCCAAGCACGCCCCCATTCACATCAACAGGGCTGTAGTAGAGCGGGTCGAGAGCTTCAAGTTCCTCTGTGTCCACATCACTAAGGATTTATCATGGTCCACACACACCAACACAGTCGTGAAGAGGGCATGACAACGCCTCTTCCTGCTTAGGAGGCTGAAAAGATATGGCATGGGCCCTCAGATCCTCAAAAAGTTATACAGCTGCAATGTTGAGAGCATCTTGACTGGCTGCATCACTGCTTGGTATGGCAACTGCTTGGCATCCGACTGCAAGGTGTTGCAGAGGGTAGTGCGTACGGCCCAGTACGTCACTGGGGCTGAGCTCCCTGTCATCCAGGACCTCTATACCAGGCGGTGTCAGAGGACCCTGAACAGCTTCTACCCCCAAGCCATAAGACTGCTAAATAGTTAGATAAATAGTTAACTAAATAGCTACCCGGACTACCTGCATCAACCCTTTTTGCACTAACTTTATTGACTCATCACGTATGTTGCTTCTACTGTTTAGTATCTATCCTGTTGCCTATCTCAATTACCCCTGCACATCGACTCGGTTCTGGTACCCCGTGTAGTTAGCCAAGTTATCGTTACTCATTGTGTATTTATTATTTTTATTATTACGTGTTATTACTTTTCTATTATTTCTCTATTTTTTTCTCTCTGCATTGTTGGAAATTGCCCGTAAGCATTTCACTGTTAGTCTACACCTGTTTTTTACGAAGCATGTGACGAATAAGATTTGATTTGAAATAAAACGTTGGTGTTTAGTATAGAGAGCAGAAGTATTCATTCAGACACATGATGATACAACTCCGATTGACTCAGACAGCATCAATGTTCACATGACACCTGACAAATGATGCCCCATGACATACTTTCCCTAGTCTGGATGCTTCATGACCTCGTCAACAACGTTGATGTCCCACACTTTAATCAAGACTAGCTCCTTATTGACTCTCCTCTCTGTCTACTCTCTCATTATGTTGGAATGGTGATGAGTACAGGAGTCATAGCTGCCTTAGGGTCATAGTACATAAGGGTTTAGTTGGTTGTAGAGTTGACAGGGCCCAGGTGTTTAATCAGAGTTGTAACCAAGGGTTGGATTCTAGTTTGTTGAAGAGTTGACAGGGCTTTAGTCAGAGTTGTTACGTAGGGTTTTAGTTTGTTGTGGAGTTGACAGGGCTTTAGTCAGACCAGGTGCTCCTGTGACTGTTCTGACAGGATGTCTCCCCTCAGAAAGAAGTGGGCTTTAGAAAAGCTGGGCTCAGATTCCCCTAATGCTTCTCCACTGCCTTTTGCGCTTTTTTACAACATGTGACTCCAGTTAAGAGTACAGACGCTGATTTTTAAGACGGTTACATTTCCTGTTGAGTCAATGCTCACCACGATTGGTTGAGTTATTGGTTCCACATGCATTTTATTATGTTAATTAAATGCTAGTGCAAAGTTGAGAAACAATATACAGTCCCCCTCCTTTGAATTCGGTTTAAACTTCATGATTTATAATCCATAATAAACCAGAAAAACTAAAACAAGCAGTAATGTTGGAGGGAGACAGAGGAAATGGTGGGAATATTTTGGTTAAGTTAATTTTTTTCCTCTTCTGTTGTTTTCTAGACTGTAAGAACCAGTCAGTGCTGCGGCCTGTGTCTGTGAGTGCCAGTTCATGGTGGCAGAGGGAGATGGGTCATCAGTCTGACTGGGCGCCCAACAGTTCCCAGGCTGACCCAGGATCAGGGAGCCGCTGCTGGACTGCAGACCAGAACGACAGCCTGCAGTGGCTCCAGCTGGACCTGGGGGAGAAGAAGAGGATCACAGGTGAGATAAGAGTCCTACTCACGGGAATCTGCTTTCAAACATGACTCATCCAAAACTCCTCTCTACCTGACTAACAATAGAAGCTAAGTAGCACTCCTTTTTTTCTCAGGGTTTATTTATTTATTTGGATCCCCATATTGGCTCCACACACTATAGAGCATGTCCGGCTTGCCCAGCATGCCTTTGGGTTACCAGGCTAAGCTTATTTTAATACCTATTTTTGTTGGAATTTTGAGCTTTGGTTGTAGCCTGCTGGTACAGATTTCCACCGTTGCCACGCTCTCTGTCCTGGTGAATGGCAATCCCTTCTTACTGGGCCTGCTCCGTGCTCAGCATACTGTAACCGTTAACCGTAATTAAGCAGGAGCCCTGGTGTTCTTGGCCAAGTCATAAAGGATCAATGGCAGAGCTTTGCTGTAGAGTTCCTCCCTCGTGGCATCAATTTATAAACAGGCATTTAGTTTTAACCCTCTCCTGCCTGGCTGCTTCCCCCCACATTCATACATTTACATTACATTTTAGTCATTTAGCAGACGCTCTTATCCAGAGTGACATTTAGTGAGTGCATACATTTTTTTTGTACTATTTTTTTTTCATAGCCCTCTGTAGAGGATGGTAAAAGGATTAACACTCAACAAGAACACATCTGTCGGAGAAAGCAGAGTATGGATAGAAATGGGATCTGATCCAGGGGGTTGTTTAGAGGGGATAGTTATCCTTATAAAGGGGTCTTTCTCGTGATTTAACTCTGGAGGGCTCACCACTGCCAAACTGTGACACGTGCACTCCACACACACACACACACACACACACAGACACAGACAGACACACGCATACACACAGCGTTAGAGAATGCTCCTCTGTATTGCTTCTCCACAAACAAGAGAGCGATTTACAAAGGCCAGGTTAAATATAGGACCATGCCGGACAAGAGTTTATTTTGAGCGTGGTGTGTGTAGTCAGCAAGTCCCAAGTTAATTTCATGCTTCTTTACAATACATTGAGTTCCAGTCAATAAAGAATGTCTGCTTTGTCTGCCGGTTCCGAAATTCAGAGTTAAGGGGAACATCGTATTGATTGGAATGCGAGCCATTGAAAATGGAAGCACTTTTATCATGGAATTGTTGTTGTGCAACAATCGTTAGATTCTATAGGCTGAGGAATACAACCCTTTCTGGTACTCTCATTATGGTAGATCAGATTTCTGTTGTTGTCAGTGTCAACATTTGTGAATTGGAAAATCTTACACTCAAAGTACACCAAAAGTACAATTTCAAACATGAACCAACAATCCAATAGTTACTTTCAATACCTTGAGAGTCTGAGATTCTGTATTTGAAATATGACCGTCATTTCCTATAATGATAGGTGTGCTGCGTCTCCATATAACCCACAATGCCCTATGTAATGTGGAGTAATGACAGGTTGCGGGTCGCCCGTCTGCCGCCATATTGTTCTGGCCTTGTGCCAGGTGCTCATCTGCCACAAAAATGCTAATCATGACTGTCTGGGAGCTGCAAATGACTGTGAAGGTTTCCACTTGGTGGTGCAGTGATTGTTCTGCTCTCTGAGGTGATGTCTCCTGTCCCTGTTCCAGCACATTCCAGGACTGACCAACGGGTGACATCACTGCCCCGGAGACAGACAGAAAAAATTAAAAGGGGGGGATGAAACATGCTGAACAATAGAAAGAAAATGCGACATTTTGACTGGAGTTTTATGCATTCTCTGTTTTTGTTTTACAGGAATTGTCACGACTGGCTCTACGATGTTGGAGCATGACTACTATGTGAGGAGCTTCATGATCTGTCACAAGGAGAGTCGTCGGTGGAGGACGTACACACAGAACAACAGAACACAATACATGGTGAGTATTCCATATCCAATTATCTGATATATGACTTCAATATTCAATTGCCTGTTAGTTAATTATGGCACAATATACATGCCTTCATGCATTATTGTACAGCAACAGGCCTTCCTATATGTCTAATCAATGTCTTATGTTACTCATGAGGCATAAGAATGCATGCCAGTCCCTCTGACCCCCCCCCCCCCCCTTCCTCACTCCCTCTGTCTCCCCCTTTCTCCCTGTCAGATATTTGAGGGGAACCAGGACAGTCTGCATCAGACCAGGAACACCTTCCACCCTCCAATCATAGCCCGCTATTTGCGCATCATACCTCACACCTGGCACCAGAGGATTGCCATGAGGGTAGAGCTGCTGGGCTGCACTCATGTCAGAGGTACAAATCCTAACCATATCTAACCTGACTACAGCAGAAATATATCAGAGTCTGGTTGAGTGTGTCTGGCTGCAGGACCAGATAGTGTTATCAGTGTTTTCAGTGAGTCAGTAATTGCGATTGATGACTGCCTTTAGAGAAGCTTTGGCAAGGAAGATCAGCTGCTGTAGGGAATTGACCTATTGTTTTACAGTGCATTACAATAAAGTGGGGAAGTAGGATAGTTCTGTAATTTTGCTGAATGTTTTTGGCACACCTGTTGATAGTTTAACGCCCACTCTCTCTCTCTCTCCCTCACTATCTCTCTTCTTCCTTTTTCTCTACTCTTCTCCCTTTCCCTCTTTACCCTCAGTGAACATGTCATCCCAGGTCACCCTGGAGACGGTACACACCAAACCCAAGCCTCCGGTGGGGGACGAGGAGATCACTGAGCCGGTGCCCTCCCAGGCAGACCTAGGTACCCATCTCATTAAAACACTGCTTTAACCAGCCTGCATTAATCATCCACCAGATGCTTTTTGTTTGTTTGTGTAATAACTGGCTAACATGCTCTCTCCTCTCTATTCTCAGTGAAGCTGGCCATCATCATTGTAGCCACAGTCTTATCTGTGGTGCTCCTGCTGATTGGGATTTGTGTATTCAAGATGCTGCAGAAGTAAGTGGCTCCTTCATGTCATTTGAATAGATAATGTAATGTTTTTAGAGACAGTAGTGTAAGGTCATGTAAGAAGAGCTTGCACCTTAATGACTCATGGGTTTCCTGTCCCCATGACAACGTGACTGACATGAGCTCAGATTGGCCTGACCTTATACGGCCCCATAGCAGCGGGTTCTCTCTACCGTGTGCCTACTCCCTAGAGTATGTCTGTTAATTATGTGTGGGAGATGTTGTGTGTCTGTGTCAGTATGCATGTGCCTGAGGGGGAGATCTTTTCAGGAAAAGAGAGAGGGGAGGAGAAGGAATAGATTGTAGCGAGGGAGAGATGTATAGTACACTAAGGGCCAGGGAGATTCTTAGAACGGTCCTTTGAAATGGCTGCCTGTCTGTTGCTCAGCTAACATAACAAGCCTGACTTGACCTGACCACCACCACAACCACAGTCATTAGTGTCAGTGCGAGAACACTGGAGGAGGATACACACCACATGTGGATCTGTACCATTCATCTCTTTACTATCAGCCTTCGTTGTCTCTGATTTATGTGGAGGTGGAAGGTAGAGGGGCTTAAAGGCGTCCTCATGCTTCCCAGCCGAAACAGTGCGGAAGAGTTTGTGCATATATTATGGCGACATTTTGTGAAATGTTTGTTCGTTTTGGACTTAGGTGAGGGTTTTGTCGGCTGTTCGGGCACACATTTTTTCTGGAGGCAAGCCGAAGTCGGTAGCCGAAGTCTGCGCCCCTTGGTCGGTGATTGGTCAACAGTAGGGATTATTCAATAAAGTCTTTGTTGTCATTCAACGAGAGACGACATGTTTTCGTGCACATTATTCCATTAAGAAATACTGCACCAAACATCTTAGTTTTAGATGTAAAATTGCGCAACTAAGATCTCCTCGGGAAAATCGTCTAAATGATTGACAGATTTCTTTTGAGTTTTCTTAGATTAATTCAGACTAGGAAGTGGCTATTTCGTCTCAAAATGGACAAACAGTACTATTGCCGCTTTGTTCTCGTTTTTCAATCAAATGTCTTTTTAAGGGAGTATGCGAGCACACTCGTTCGGTTCGCCTAGCCAAACCGAACTGAAGCATGCTGACGTCTTAAGAGGCCATAGGTGAGTGTCAGAAGATGTGGCCAGCTGTATGAGTCCCCAGAGAGGAGAGTGGGTAAAAGGGAGAGGGGGAAATGAAGATAAACGAGAGAAGGGTGCTCAGCAGAGCCAGGCAGTGGTGTTTAGGGGACAGAGGGTATACTACACCCCCCTGCCTCAGCTCCCCCCAGGAGGTTATCAGAGGAATGGGGTGAGGGAGCACCCCTGTCCTCCCTGTCACTGGAGTTCACCCCGGCATTTGTCTTTCTGTCACAGGAAGAAGACAAAAGAGAACTCATACGGATCTTCAGATGCCCAGAAAACGGGTCAGTGAACAATGTCTCAACTCATCTCTTGTTCATGGCCTTATGTTACTCTTGACTTTGTCAAAGATGTCATTCATATTACTGTACAACAACATTGAATAATTGTTTGTATGGTGAAGATGAGCCTTAGAAATAATCCTTAATTTATAAATTGTAGGTAGGAAAATATACATAATAGGAAAATCCATGTTATAGTGATACTCAGTCAGCTGACAGGCTGCATATTATTCCTTGTCTTTATGGCTGCTTTAATGAAACTACCAGAGCCCATTTGTTGATCTGTGACAACATGTCTATCAGTCTGTGCTGTGTAGTGGGGGGTTGTGGGTAGTGAAAATTCAGTCAGGCCTGGGCTTGCATCTGGGGCTTGTCTCTGTGCTCTCTCTCTCCCTGCTAGAGTCCTGTCATTATGTCTGTCTGTCTGTGGAGTTAACCATTGTCTTTTTACTGCCTCCGCCTGCCTGCCGGCCCTCAGGTTGCTGGAAGCAGATCAAGCAGCCGTTTGCCAGGCACCAGTCCACAGAGTTCACCATCAGCTACAGTTCAGAGAAAGACCCCATACAGAAACTAGACCTGGTCACCAGCACCATGGCAGGTGAGGACACATGCACACACTGAGACGTACGTCCATACACCCACACTTCCAATCATCACAACTCAAGAGCCTGAGGCACCCATGGAAGTGAATATAGAACCATTCTGTGGAGGCACCACTAGGGCTGTGGAGGTCACGAAATTTCGTCAGCCAGTGATTGTCAAACAAATAACTTGGAGAAGCCTAATCACCATGACTAAACGATCACATGGAATTTGACTCCCTTCATGACTTTGTGACCGCCGGTGTGGCGGTAATACAGTCACCATAACAGCCCTAGGCCCCACCAACTTGTATTGAACTTCCATCTTCCTTCATGAGAGGCTGGGTTACTTGTATTGATCCATAATTACTCCATCGCCCAGGCAGTGTGTGGTGAAAACTCTGAAAGTCAAGCTCTCCACCCCATTCACAGTAACTGTGACCCTACTCCCACACACAATTCTCTGCTTTACAGTTCTCTGCTCACTCCATGGCCAAAGTAATCTAGAACTCATTGGAAGCTTCTGGCTCAGTGTCTGAACCGACGATACAAAGTAAGAAGACATCACACAATGGCCTGAAAAGCCAGTTGATGATCCTCTCTTCTCTGGCTCTTATCAGTAATTACATGTAATTCTGGGTGAGCTGGAGAGGGTTGATCATCAAAGCTGGAGCCAGTAGGAGGCTAGCTAGTGTAATCCTTGACTTTGGAAAGTCCTCTAGTAGTCTGCTGAACAGTTCCTGACAGGCTGAGAGGCAGCCAGATGAATAATGGCCCACTGCTGCTGTTAATAATCCACAGCTCCCCTTCAGGGCACCAATTATTGATGATTCACATACTCTGCCAGGGTTGAATATTCTATATTTAGATAGATCACAGGCTCCCTGTGCACTATAAACCTGCTACAAGTATATGCAGATAAATCAGAGATAATGTCTGTGTTGAAAGAAAATGGTGTCCTTTTGATCTATAACGGAGTAATATTATTCATTGAGTGAAAAAAATGAAGTTGGTGTTTTAATATGCTAATTCCAAAACAGATTGTCACATTTTATCACCATGGCACTGGTAATAAAGTTGGTAGTATTCAGTTCTGTTCTTAAGTGGCCTGTGTCCTTGTGTCCTCCAGAGTACCAGCAGCCTCTGATGATTGGGATTGGCACAATGGCCAGGAAGGGCTCTACGTTCCGGCCCATGGACACGGAGACCAAGGAGAATCATAGCGACCCCTCCATCCACTATGACTACCTGCACACAGCCAACCAGTATGCCCTGCCTCTCACCAACCAGGAGCCAGAGTACGCCACACCCATCATCGAGCATCACACCTTCCACAAGGACGGGTTCCTGCCCGACCCGGCTAGTTACAGCGTCCCAGGTGTGGTCCTCAGCAAGACCCCATCCTTTAAAACCCTGGACAGGAAGGCAGGGGTGGGCTCCTCCGGGGGCTACCAGATGCCCCAGCTCAAAATAGACCGGGGACACAGTAACTCTGAGGGGGTCTACGACAGACCCAAGGTGAACAAGCCTGTGGTCCAGAGCAGTTGCCACTCGGACTACCAGAGGCCCCAGGCCAAGCCGGCCGTGCTGGAAACCTACTCCACCCCCAGGGACTGTGTGAGGGTGGCCCCCACCATGGGTCACAGGCCGGACCATAGACCAGACCCTGAGGGCAGTTCTGGAGGAACCTGACGATAGAACATCTCTGGGACTACATGACTAAACTGTCAAACTGTGATTTTGATCAGTTCACGGCCATTTTAGACTGAGCTCACTGTAGCAAACACAACTGGTAAATTATTTCTCAACTGACTTTCGGCATGTGGGAGACGACAGTGTTTGTGTTTGCTGGATGACCTGGATACATCTGAGGCTGTGCTGGCAGACATTTTCTGAATAAGAAAATACGGATGGTTACTTTAATTGTCCTATTTTTTTAAGGGGTGGGGTGATTTATTAAAAAGCAAATGGTGATGGAGACAGGAAATGTCCTCAAAATGGGAAAATACCTCTCCTCATTCTCAACCGTGACTGATGCTTGTGACTGTAACATAACCTTATGCTTGTGACTGTAACATAACATTAAGAAATAATGTGACTCGGTTCCTTAACTGTACAGTATATTTTGAGGTCATGATAAAGCTTTCAGAATCTCTCGGTCTGAGGTTAAGCTGCTTTCAGCAGGGAGGCATAGAGGAAGCAGTGCTTGTTAAATAAAGCACCACCCCAGTTTAAAGTGGCACATTTGTCCCCAGCGGGTCCTACTATAGGATACTTTACACAGTCAGTGGAGCTGGCTCTTAACATAGAACTGTAAGGACACTCTGTGAATGAAGTGACTGAAAGGACTGGTGTCGCCGCATGGGGTCCCCCACAATGGGGGCTTTGTCACCATGTTGCAGGTGGCTCTGTGCTCTAAAGCCGACGGCTGCATCGCTGCTCTGTATCAGTCTGGAGGTAGATCTGGTAAGTGTGATCAGAGAGCCAATGAAAAGGCAATGGGAGAGTGTTTACAGTTAGTCTGGCATATTTAGAAATGCCCAGCAGGGGATTTAGGAGAGTAAACTGGACTACAACACATCACAAAGCTGTGTTTTTAGATGATCTGTTTAACTGGACAAGGTCAAGAACTACTGTACAGGCCAGTTCCTTTTAAATGGATGTTGAAACAAAGCCATGTTAAATGGTACCGCTACTACAGTCTAGTCGATTGTGTATAGGTGTGTACATACAAGTGCATAGTTAGAAAATGTATATTGCCAAGAGGAAAGAAAAATGAATGCTGTTGACTGTATTAAAAGCACCTGTGAGTGTGATGTTGCTGCTGTGTACTGAAGACAGACCTTAGGATGGAACTAAGAACTCTTTAATTTCTGTGAAATATTTTTGGGAGATCTTTTCAGCGGGGTTGTATGTACACGTACAGAACTGCGTCTGATTTTTGCAAGAAGTTCTCAGACTCTCTCTGTGATATGTCACTCTCATTCAAAACGTTCAGTGTGTCTACTGACTGTTGGCTGTAAGCTGAGCCCTGAATAAAAACACCAGCAGTTGACCTCTTCATGTCAAGGTCTCTTTACTATGTGAAAATGTGTTTCTCTGCAGCCGTAGCCTCGGCCCTGGGATGCCCGGCATTCCAGTCCCAGCGCCCAGAGAAGCAGGAAGTTACAGGAACCCCCCACCTCCACTCAGCCTGTGGAGGAATGTGGCAGTTTGGTGTCAGTCATGGAGCAGCAGCTGATGATCGGTGACACTGCTGCTGCCCAGTCCTACCAGCTATGGACCCACACAAGGGGAGAGGGCTGGTGTGTGTGGGGTTATGACGGCCTCACTGAGGGCCCTGATAACGTTGCTGGTCTTTTCAGAAGCGGGTGGAGATAACCCTAATCTGAGTAGAGCCTGCTTGTGGCTGTGATGAGAGAGTGTGTGTGAGGTCCTGTCTGCCAGTGGGTTCGGCTTGGTCTTTCACACAGGGGTGTGGAGCACCGTTTACACCTCCAGCCTCCAACCCAAAGCTACATGAAAGCTCAGACTCAGAGCAGCTCTCTGTGAACACGCTGCTCCTGGCTATTCAGTTTATCCCCTCAAATTCCAGTCATGTCTCTTCTTGCAGACTGCCAATTTTGTTCATGTGAGCTTGAAGAGTATGGCCTTCTTAATTGCATACTACTCGCGTCCTCTCTGTCTCCTCAAACCAATTGGATGAGAAAGATGATGTCCCTCCCCTCTGACCTTCTCCAATGGGTTTTGAGAAGGAGATGCTTGTTACTATTAATCACTGTGAATAATTGCCATGAATGTTGCCTTTTTCATGTATGGATAAATCTCAGAATGTACTGAGTGGTTCTACGGTTTACATCTCCCCCTGGTGTTCATTGTGGTTCACTGAACAAAAGCAATAATATTGGTAACAATATACAGAGCAGAAAAAAATTACTTCCAGTTAATCTTTGTCTGTTCCTCATTCAAACATTTGGATATTCACATTTCAACCTAGTGAAGATTGAATCCTTCAAGAAATCTGAACCATGAGGGCAGGGCAGGCTATACACACTGTACAGACCACATTGGGTAATTACATTTATTTAAAGTTAATGTTATACATTACGTACAGATATGAGACACCTTTTTTTTGACAACTGCATTGAGGAATAAAATAACATTAAGAAAACAAGGTTGGGTAAAAAACTGAGTACAAAAAGGGAGCCTTTGTTCCTTCAGGCAAAAATCACTGGCAACAAGCGGAAAGATGAACATTCTTTATGACATGCAGCGTCAGTGTTCAGTGTTGGGATGCCGCCTCGGTCTCTAGTGCCACTCTCATTTCACAAACGTTAAGCAGGGAACTGTCCATGGCTTGGACACATCCTTCATGCAGAGCATTTGAGTTAGATCAAAAACCGTACCTGCAGATTAGCCTCAGACTGATAAGAAATGGCCATGAACGAGGTCAACATTAGAACACAAGGCTGCAGATTGTCTTGACCACCTCAACCCCTCCGTCCCTCCATGGGGGTACATTTGTAATAAGTAGAGATGCTACTACAGTAGCTAAATTCCAATATGATCTACAGAAATGCACTGATTTCTTATTTTAAAATAGCTAATACATTTATATAGCATATACATATTTATTTCTATAGTCTAAGATGATAGTTTGTGAATTTGATTAAATTGATCTTTAGTGCATAAAAACCTTGTTCTATTGCTATTAACCTTTGCATGTACAAATAAACCTTTTGGTTGTGTAAAATTCATTGAATAAAGCTGGAAAACAAACCCCCATCACTCAGATAAGGTTACCAACCTATGACAGATGTTAATATCAGAACACAGTACAGCAGACATGCTGTGGTCAGTCATTTTTGGGTCCTAACAAGTCTGAAGACACAGTTTGACTGCCACTGATACCACGACATCACAGCACAGCAGCAGTAGAGAAGGGTGGGAAAACCAGCCAGCGATAGACTTTAGGGAGATGCATACAAAAAGGCAAGATATGTACTTTGTGTTAAAAGGGACTAGAACAAAGGTAGTTAAAAAGGAGAAATGCTAGTTGAGTTTAAGAGCGAAAAGACATTGCACTTCTAATTTCTGGCAACATGTGACAATAACTGAAAAGACAAGAAGATTTGGCCATCCAATCCGGTGTCCCTATTCTACCCTTTTGAGGTGTCCCCCTGACCGCTCACTTCCTCTTATGGGTACAGGCGACTCAATTTGCAATGAAGTCTTTCCATGTACAGTCTGTTTTAACATACAGTAGGTGAATGTAGCTCTCTTATATTCTGAACACTAAGGACTAGGCCTACTGGTAGGTGGATCTTAGAGCAGTGCAGGTTTGACATGAGAATCAACATTTATATCATAATCAGTGATAGAAGATTAACATTAATTGAGAGAAACCCATCTACACTAGCTACATGTGAAAGAGATAAATAAAAGCTAACATTTATGAAGGGAGAAGATCTTTCTCGGCCTTGTAAAATAGTATTCATTACCAGCAGGGCAGTCACAGTAATGTAGTGTAGTCTTAGTTTGGGGGCAAAAAGGATCAGTAACTAAGGATCAGTAACTATACACACACAGAGAAAAATCGATTCTACCATCTTCTCCAAACTAGTCCCACATCCTCTCCTCAATATGTGGTTTCATCTCATTGGCTCCTCACCATTGCACGAAGATAGTGACATGAATTCAGCAGAGCTCCGAGTGTGTTTCCATAACAACTTAATGATGAGTCAACTCTATCCCCACTTCTCCCCTCATATATCCTCCAGTGGACTCTGATGCAGTCCAGTCTCTCAAATCTCATACAGTATAGTACACAAACACACGTGTACTCCAGTCTTTCAGGTCCTCGCCCTCCTCCCCTCCATGTGCTCGCTCCCCCCGCTCCTCCCCTCCATGTGCTCCCCCCCCAGGTCCTCGCCCTCCTCCCCTCCATGTGCTCCCCCCCCCAGGTCCTCGCCCTCCTCCCCTCCATGTGCTCGCTCCCCCATCCTCCCCTCCATGTGCTATCCCCCCCAGGTCCTCCCCCTCCTCCCCTCCAAGTGCTCTCCCCCCCAGCTCCTCCCCACCCCTCTATGAGGAGCTCTCTCCGGACTCAGCAGCCTTAGACAGGGTCTCCTCTGATGGCGTCTCACTGGAGATCCCTGTGTCTCCGTTCTCCAGGCTGTCACTCACTGACATCTTCTCCAGAGCTGCAGCAGTAGGCACAGATAGATGGACATGAATACACTCTCTCCTTACTGCAGCATCAATCATCACATTCTGTGGGCATTTCAGCTGGATGAAACGCCACATTTTCTGTTCATTCACATATGCTCATATGGCATTTTGGCAGTCTTTACAGTCCATTTTCACATTAACACAAAGACTCCCATTTGTATAATGCAAGTGAATGTGAAGTAAGACAACACTATTTAAAATGAAGCCCTACTACTGAAAACAACGTGTTCGTTTTCTATGAATAATGACAGCCCAGGAATGAGGTACAGTAGAGATAACTTACCTTGTAGCGATGCTGAGTCTGCTGTGCCGTTGTTCCTGCTGGCGGCTGACCCCTCCTCCAGCTCATCCAAGTAGAGGCGGTAGCGATGGCCGCTGTCATCCTCATACTCCACGTTCTCATCGTCAGAGTCCACCTCCGGGGCCACGTACACCACCTCAAACTCTATCTCTCCCCTCTGGAGGACAGGAGGACACAGACAGACACACACACACCACAGAGGGTGAGAGAAAATTTAGCAAGAGCTTACTTAGTTAATTTGTTGGTTTGCTGAGGCATGATTAACCGTTTTCCCCCAATGCACAGAAGCAGCCCCGCAGGCTAAATTGACTAACCCCAGCATGAACCTCCACTAAATTACTCTAGTGTTCTAGGAATTGTGGGCTGACTGAGATCCCCACTGCTGTTTTAAGGAGAGGAGAGATGACTGACACTCAGTAAAAGCTTTACCCCCCAACCTAAACACTAACTGGTCACACAGGCTCGCACAAAAGGTATCACCAACTCAAGAAAGGCTTTTGAAATCACAAAAGGAATGTTTAGCTTTTTACTATGGTTTTACTTAACCTGGTGCCATAGTGTACATGTACCAACTCTTTAATGCAGTCATGATGTCATACATGTTTAGCATGACAACAAACATAACAAAGCAACCAAATCTGGACCACCAGGCTAAGTTTGCCTGAATTCAAGATGCGAGCACTCAGCCCTTCTCTCTCCCCGGAGCCGAGTCTGACCTGTTGTGAGAGGATGGTGACGGCTTCCTTGTGTTTGGCGTCCCTCAGGTTGATGCTGTTGACAGCCAGGATGGCATCACCCACATGGAGCCCCCCACAGCGCTCCGCAGGCTGGGTAGGATGGATCTCTGAGATCAGGATGGGCACCCCGTGTTCCTTACCACCCTGTCCATCCAGAAATAACACAGACATACACACACATATTAAGGTATGGAACATGACTGATGAGCAACACACTATGGGTTGAGACATAGCATTTAACACTTTCTGGTTTGGGCTAAATTGGTGGTGGAGGTTACCGTGATTGAAATTCCAAGTCCCTCGTGATCTTCTTTGGCCAGCACTACTTTACGAATAGGACCAACTCCTTGGGTCTTCTTCAGTAGATTTGTTTCCTGAGAGAGAGATCAAACAGGCAAATAAATAGTGATAAGCAAACTGTAAAAATACCTTAACTACAATTAAGATCAATCCCCTAGTGACTCTGATGTCCACTCACATGCCCCACTGGAGACGGTAGGGGTTTCTTGGGGTCGTTGCGCCCCCTGCAGGCTCGGATGACTGTCTTGTGGCGGTGGAGGTGGATCTCAGCCTCCAGCTGGTTCCATAGTTTGTCATGAGCGGGCCCCTTCATGTCCCGACCCAGTAACTGGATCTGCTGTACTCTGGAGACGATGGACCCAAAGACAACCAGTTACCAATGTCAGCATTATTGGTTTCAGGTAGTCCCTCCCTATTTCAATCTGCTTGCTTCTGTTTGTGGCCTAATGGATATGACACTGATCAGAGGTTGAATTGGGAATTCGGTGGGGAAGAGCCCCATTTGGGTTATGTCAAGATTAGGATTAGGGTTGGGGCTAGGCTTAAGGTTGGAACTAGGGTTAGGGTTGGAGCTAGAGTTAGGGTTGGAGCTAGAGTTAAAGCTAGGGTTAGGGCTAGGATTAGGGTTGGAGCTAGAGTTAGGTTTAGAGCTAGGGTTGGAGCTAGTGTTAGGGTTGGAGGTAGAGTTAGGGTTGGAGGTAGAGTTAGGGTTGGAGCTAGAGTTAGGGTTAGAGCTAGGGTTAGAGTTAGGGTTGGAGCTAGAGTTAGGGTTAGAGCTAGGGTTAGAGCTGGAGCTAGAGTCAGGGTTAGAGTTAGGGTTGGAGCTAGAGTTAGGGTTAGAGCTAGGGTTAGAGTTAGGGTTGGAGCTAGAGTTAGGGTTAGAGCTGGAGCTAGAGTCAGGGTTAGAGTTAGGGTTGGAGCTAGAGTTAGGGTTGGAGCTAGAGTTAGGGTTAGAGCTAGGGTTAGAGCTAGGGTTAGAGTTAGGGTTGGACCTAGAGTTAGGGTTAGAGCTAGGGTTAGGGTTGGAGCTAGAGTTAGGGTTGGACCTAGAGTTAGGGTTGGACCTAGAGTTAGGGTTGGACCTAGAGTTAGGGTTAGAGTTAGGGTTGGACCTAGAGTTAGGGTTAGAGCTAAGGTTTTAGAGCTAGAGTTAGAGCTAGAGTTGGAGCTAGAGTTAGGGTTGGAGCTAGAGTTAGGGTTAGGTTTAGAGCTAGAGTTATGGTTAGAGCTAAGGTTAGGTTTACCTTCCAGCCAGCTCTTTGTCCAGATACTTGGCTGCCAGTCTGGCCCCGTAGACCTCAGCCTGCAGTACAGCGATGTGCTTGCGGAGGGCCTCATTCTCCTTCTTATGCAGCTTGACCTCTGCCTCCAACTTCACTTCCTTCACCTTCTCCTTCTTGTTGGCCTGCAGCTCCCTCTCCTGTCACATACACACACACACACACACACACACACACAGGTGGACGGGCACACACACACACACACACACACACACACACACACAAACGCAAAGATAAATGGTTGAGTTAAACTCTACAGAGAGAGAGCGCGCAAGTGCTTTACTCCTGTCAGCTTTGGCACTTTGCTGTACAGAGACAGAGAGAGATCCCTGCTCCACTGATGAGTCAGAGAGAATGGGCCATGACTAGAGGCTGGAGCAGTCTCCTCTGATCAACATTAGAGGAAGCGTAGTTGACAGGCACTGCAGCTGGCCGCAGGGCAGGGAGCAGGAAAAGAGCAGTCCACTGATGCATCCTCACAGGCTGGGCTACAGCCACAAAGACCATGTCACAGACAAACATGGATACAATATACAGTATCGATGAAGCACAAATTAAATATCTACTTGAGGACAAAACACACACAAGATAGGTGACTGTGGGTTTGGCTGTCATAAGTTCAAAGCATTGACACTTCTGCTGATTAAGAAGGAACAACATGCAAACTGGGTTACTCTGAGTGTACGATTAAGTTACAGGTTCACAAAAGGGGTAAAGATTTGAACTTAAGTACAGCCAGTTGGTTCTATCAAAATATGATTGATTGGGACTCGCTTCAAAATTACCCAAAATATTCCAGGGTACCATTCAGAATAATGAATAACTCATTTACGTTGGTGGTCATGTTTCCATCAGCACATATCTGAGCAAATGTAAGCTTATTTAGATAAAAGGTAAGTGAGTTTATTCAGTTATTCATTATTCTGAATGATCCCCTGGAATTACCTATTTTGGGTCATTTTGAAGCGAGTCACAAACATATCACATATCAATTACTCTAATATATCTACCTATATCTAGATCTATATATATACATATACATACACACATTAGCCTCACAGAGATCCTGGAAATCATCATAATTTCCCTTTGGGCTTTTTTTGACTATTAAAACAAAACACTTTCCAAGTATCAAAACATGCACGTTCCAATCATACGGGGCAACAGGGACATACATGAATAGGCAATAACAGACAATGCAACAAAGCTACAATAATTCCAGATCTGTTGTCACTGTCAGTCATTGCTAGCATGAGCCCCATAGACGGCCTGTTGGACGTATTGATGAGGAACTGTTGTTAGCAAGATCAGGAAAAGACAGAACTTGAGGGTGGGATGAGTCCACAGACACACAGCTATCCCCAACCAAAGTAACTGACACAGAGGACATGCACACACTTACCATCTCCTCCAGTGAGGGAACAGGCTTAAGGTGAGAAGAACAGAGAAGGGGTCAAAGGTTAGAAAGGCAGAGTTAAGATCACAGCCAAGCAGTGGGGAAGAATGCGACCATTTACCACTTTACAGGCCAACTGGAACCTCAGCAGGTATACCATAAAATACTTTAGCAGTCTAAGATTCAGCTACAGGAACGCATCAAAAAACGGTGAAAAGGTATTTGTATTCCTTCCCAAGAATGTCCCAGACGCATAGAGGTAGCTTTATTCTCGGAGGAAGAGCGACAATAGAAACCTCGAAACCACAGTATGACGCACAAAGCAGAAACTAGAGCGAGAGTAGTGTGTGTGTGTGTGTGTGTGTGTGTGTGTCCTACCATCCTGTCTTTGATGGAGTCTGAGTCCACAGTCTGTCCCGCCTTGGTATGAAGCTGCAGCTGCATGGCGTGGAGCTGGAGGAGCTGGTCGTGGACCTCCCTCTCCACCACCTCCTTCTCCGCCTGCACGTCAGTCAGCTCCGAACGCAGGCCCACCAGCTGAGCCTGGAGGAGAGTGGGAGAGAGAGAGAGAAGTCAGACAGACAGAGTTACATAAGTGTACGCTTCTTCAGACTTCCTAGATTCTTAGGAATCCTCATCATCATGTATGTGGTCAAGTCAAGTGGACCAGGCCCAAGTCATCATCCCAGCACAGATCAAATTACATTTTTGATTGTTCTGTTTTACATTTCCACTCTGTTCTCTATCTGATTTTTCAATACGTATTTTTCTTAGAAAGCAGGCTCTTTGTTATTCAAGCCTGTATGAATTGTGCCAAAATCAATTGAAGGTTGTCTATTGTACGCAACAACAAAAATACAATTTGTGCTCGTCTCTGGAGCTTACTGAGCTTGGCAACATGGGAAGCAGAGTTGAGTGCAGAGAACAATTAATCGACTTATTTATGCCATTGAACTGGGGCCACCTGCATGTCACAGCTGAAGGAATGAATTGATCTACAGTATGATATGAATGAGGTTAGGATTCACTCCACCTATGATGATGAAAGAGGAGTGTGATTATATCATGTGAATCTAACTGAATAATAAACAACCTCTGCCTCTTAAATAACTTATCAATCATCATCCTCAGACAGAGATAATGCCTAGTAATCAGGCAGGCCTTCATTATAATAGAGACCCAGTCTAAATCAAACAGGCTTAGAATATTCTATAGTACGACCCACCATTTAAGACAGTTTAGCCTGTATTTACTCCTCAAATGTAGGGTAGTAGGGGGAAAAAGTTAACAAAATACTTCAGGACATAAAGAGTGTGTGTGTCTGTTTGCTGACCACTTTGTCCTCTATTCAGACTGAGACAGCCCACATGTCTGGACACACAGGTGGCAGTATGCTACATCAGGAGAAACATTAGCCTACACAGTGCAGCTGCTGGCATCACACGCCAAACTAACCGACCAAATACAAAGAGACATACGCACGCCAAACCAACCGACCAAATACAAAGACACATACAGACCCGGACATACAAACACACAGACAGACACATGCATGCATGCAAGCAGACAAACGCAAAAGGGACAGGATTTCCTGATTCTTGAGTGTTGGGCAAGTGTGGAATGTGTGTGTCTCGTGGCTGGAGTCAGACTGTTATCTCTATATCCTTGCTCCTAAACACTGTGCTCTCTAAGCATGGAGGGAGGACAAGACAGGCGTCCGGCTGACCTCTTCCTGATAAACTTTAACCTCCCTACGTCTACCTTTGACTCATTTCTCTCCGTCTCCTTCTTTCCACTCCTCTCCTCTTTTGACCTCACCCTCTCACCGTCCCCCCCTACTCACAAGGCTTGACCTCATCTTTACTAGATGCTGTTCTTCTACTAATCTCACTGCAACTCCCCTCCATGTCTCCGACCACTACCTTGTATCCTTTTCTCTCTCGCTCTCCTCCAACACTACTCACTCTGCCCCTACTCAGATGGTAATGTGCCGTCGCAACCTTCGCTCTCTCTCTCCCGCTACTCTCTCCTCTTCCATCCTATCATCTATTCCCTCTGCTCAATCCTTCTCCCTCCAATCTCCTGATTCTGCCTCCTCAACCCTCCTCTCCTCCCTTTCTGCATCCTTTGACTCTCTATGTCCCCTATCCTCCCGGCCGGCTCGGTCCTCCCCTCCTGCTCCGTGGCATGACGACTCATTGCGAGCTCACAGAACAGGGCTCCGGGCAGCCGAGCGGAAATGGAGGAAAACTAGACTCCCTGCGGACCTGGCATCTTTTCACTCCCTCCTCTCTACATTTTCTTCCTCTGTTTCTGCTGCTAAAGCCACTTTCTACCACTCTAAATTCCAAGCATCTGCCTCTAACCCTAGGAAGCTCTTTGCCACCTTCTCCTCCCTGCTGAATCCTCCTCCCCCTCCCCCCCCGTGGATGACTTCATCAACCATTTTGAAAATACGTTTGACGACATCCGATCCTCGTTTGTTAAGTCAAATGACACTGCTGGTCCTGCTCACACTGCCCTACCCTATGCTTTGACTTCTTTCTCCCCTCTCTCTCCAGATGAAATATTGCAACTTGTGACGGCCGGCCGCCCAACAACCTGCCCGCTTGACCCTATCCCCTTCTCTCTTCTCCAGACCATCTCCGGTGACCTTCTCCCTTACCTCACCTCGCTCATCAACTCATCCTTGACCGCTGGCTATGTCCCTTCCGTCTTCAAGAGAGCGAGAGTTGCACCCCTTCTCAAAAAACCTACACTCGATCCCTCCGATGTCAACAACTACAGACCAATATCCCTTCTTTCTTTTCTCTCCAAAACTCTTGAGCGTGCCGTCTTTAGCCAACTCTCTTGCTATCTCTCTCAGAATGACCTTCTTGATCCAAACCAGTCAGGTTTCAAGACTGGTCATTCAACTGAGACTGCTCTTCTCTGTGTTACGGAGGCTCTCCGCACTGCTAAAGCTAACTCTCTCTCCTCTGCTCTTGTCCTTCTAGACCTGTCTGCTGCCTTTGATACTGTGAACCATCAGATCCTCCTCTCCACCCTCTCCGAGTTGGGCATCTCCGGCGTGGCTCACTCTTCGATTGCGTCCTACCTGACCGGTCGCTCCTACCAAGTGGCGTGGCGAGAATCTGTCTCCGCACCACGTGCTCTCACCACTAGTGTCCCCCAGGGCTCAGTTCTAGGCCCTCTCCTATTCTCGCTATACACCAAGTCACTTGGCTCTGTCATATCCTCACATGGCCTCTCCTATCATTGCTACGCAGACGACACACAACTAATCTTCTCCTTTCCCCCTTCTGATAACCAGGTGGCGAATCGCATCTCTGCATGTCTGGCACACATATCAGTGTGGATGACGGATCACCACCTCAAGCTGAACCTCGGCAAGACGGAGCTGCTCTTCCTCCCGGGGAAGGACTGCCCGTTCCATGATCTCGCCATCACGGTTGACAACTCTGTTGTGTCCTCCTCCCAGAGTGCAAAGAGCCTTGGCGTGACCATGGACAACACCCTGTCGTTCTCTGCTAACATCAAGGCGGTGACCCGATCCTGTAGGTTCATGCTCTATAACATTCGGAGAGTACGACCCTGCCTTACACAGGAAGCGGCACAGGTCCTAATCCAGGCACTGGTCATCTCCCGTCTGGATTACTGCAACTCGCTGTTGGCTGGGCTCCCTGCCTGTGCCATTAAACCCCTACAACTCATCCAGAATGCCGCAGCCCGTCTGGTGTTCAACCTTCCCAAGTTCTCTCACGTCACCCTGCTCCTCCGCACACTCCACTGGCTTCCAGTTGAAGCTCGCATCTGCTACAAGACCATGGTGCTTGCCTATGGAGCTGTGAGGGGAACGGCACCTCCGTACCTTCAGGCTCTGATCAGTCCCTACACCCAAACAAGGGCATTGCGTTCATCCACTTCTGGCCTAGTGGCCCCCCTACCTCTGCGGAAGCACAGTTCCCGCTCAGCCCAGTCAAAACTGTTCGCTGCTCTGGCACCCCAATGGTGGAACAAGCTCCCTCACGACGCCAGGACAGCGGAGTCACTCACCACCTTCCGGAGACACTTGAAACCCCACCTCTTTAAGGAATACCTGGGATAGGATAAAGTAATCCTTCTACCCCCCCTTACCCCACCCCAAAGAAAGAAAAAAAAACATATTGTAAAGTGGTTATCCCACTGGCTATAAGGTGAATGCACCAATTTGTAAGTCGCTCTGGATAAGAGCGTCTGCTAAATGACGTAAATGTAAAAAAAAAAAATGTAATAAACTATACCTGAATAAGTCTGGAGACGAGGCTAAGGAAGTCTTAATAGCTGAGAAATCACTTTTTTTATGTTTGGTAATCAATAACAATCTATTAGGGCAGGCCTATGTTACCATAACAAATCAAGACACACAGTTGAGTCAAAATAATGAGTCAGAAACAAATTCCCCTAAGCTTGGCTTTCCCGGCAGACTTAGGGCTGCAGACGTCTTCCACAGTTCTGCTTTTCAAGTGATTCACACACTCACTCACTCACTCACTCATGTTAACGTCCACAGACGGACCGGACTGGACCAAATCTGAACCTATCATAGACGTATGTTAAACAAGTTGGGATAGCACAGTACAGAGCACAGTACAATACAGTTCAGAAAAGTATAGGACAGTAAAGCAGGGTTTCCCCAAACTCGGTCCTGGGGGCCGCCCTGGGTACACATTTTGTTTTTTGCCCTAGCACTACACAGCTGATTCAAATAACCAACTCATCATCAAGATTTGATTATTTTAATCACCTATGTATTGCTAGGGCAAAATACAAAATGTGCACCAGGACCGAGCAGGACCGAGTTTGGGAAACCCTGGAGTAAAGTACTGTATATTGGACTCTACTGTACTGAACTCTACTCTGCTGTGCTGTACTGTGATGTCCAAACTTGTGAAACATGACGAGAATAACATTCATATCCATAATGGTCACAAACACTGCCAGTGGACAGAAAACTGAGGCATTTCACAAATCCCATAATAGCTGATTTTCACAGATTTTGTTTACTTTAGCCACGTCAAATAGCCTAATAGGCAATGACATTCTAGTGGAGCATGGTCTGAAAATGGCGGAGTATAGATGCACTGTTGAGCGCTACAGGAGTCCCTAGACAAGGCAAGAACTAGATGTACAGTACCAGTCAAAAGTTTGGACACACCTACTCATTCCAGGGTTTTTCTTTATTTTTACTATTTTCTACATTGTAGAATAATGGTGAAGACATCAAAACTATGAAATAACACATATGGAATCATGTAGTAACCAAAAAAAGTGTTAAACAAATCAAAATATATTTTATATTTGAGATTCTTCAAATAGTCACCCTTTGCCTTGATGACAGCTTTGCACACTCTTGGCATTCTCTCAACCAGCTTCACATGGAATGCTTTTCCAACAGTCTTGAAGGAGTTCCCACATATCCTGTGCACTTGTTGGCTGCTTTTCCCTTCACTCTGCGGTCCGACTCTTCCCAAACCATCTCAATTGGGTTGAGGTCGGGTGATTGTGGAGGCCAGGTCATCTGATGCAGCACTCCATCACTCTCCTTCTTGGTAAAATAGCCCTCACACAGCCTGGAGGTGTGTTGGGTCATTGTCCTGTTGAAAAACAAATGATAGTCCGACTAAGTGCAAACCAGATGGGATGGCGTATCACTGCAGAATGCTGTGGTAGCTATGCTGGTTAAGTGTGCCTTCAATTCTAAATAAATCACAGACAGTGTCACCAGCAAAGCACCCCCACACCATAACACCTCCTCCTCCCTGCTTTACGGTGGGAAATACACATGCTGAGATCATCCGTTCACCCACACCGCGTCTCACAAAGACATGGCGGTTTGAACCAAAAATCTCTCATTTGGACTCCAGACCAAAGGACAAATTTCCACCGGTCTAATGTCCATTGCTCGTGTTTCTTGGCCCAAGCAAGTCTCTTCTTCTTATTGGTGTCCTTTAGTAGTGGCTTCTTTGCAACAATTCAACCATGAAGGCCTGATTCACACAGTCTCCTCTGAACAGTTGATGTTGAGATGTGTCTGTTACTTGAACTCTGTGAAGCATTTATTTGGGCTGCAATTTCTGAGGCTGGTAACTCTAATGAACTTATCCTCTGCAGCAGAGGTAACTCTGGGTCTTCCATTCCTGTGGCAGTCCTCATGAGAGCCAGTTTCATCATAGCGCTTGATGGTTTTTGCGACTGCACTTAAAGAAACTTTCAAAGTTCTTAAAATGTTCCGTATTGACTGACCTTCATGTCTTAAAGTAATGATGGACTGTTGTTTCTCTTTACTTTATTTGAGCTGTTCTTGCCATAATATGGACTTGGTCTTTTACCAAATAGGGCTATCTTTTGATGTTAGGATATATAAAGTTATCCGGTACAAGCTTTTGTGCCGAATACATTACGTTGTTACAGGTGTCAAGCTTATGGGCATGTGGCAGCAGTGTGTAGGAGGGAGGTTCCTAGGTGTGAGAAGTGTGCAGAAGGGTATGAGACAAAGTCATGTGTAGCATTGGGGAAAGTAGTGGTATGTGTAAATTGTAGGGGTGCACATGGGTCTGGGGATCCGAAATGTCCGGTGCGCAAGAGGCAGGTTGAGGTTTCCAGGGTTAGAGTAGTGCAGAAGTTGTCATATGCTGAGGCAGTGAAGAAAGTAGAGGAAGATGGGTCAAGGGGGAGGGATCCTGAGAGGAATGGTGTTAGTAGTAGATATGTACCGAGGGATAAACCAACAAGTGATATATGTTTCAGTAAGATTGAATTTTTGACATTTATAGCAATGGTTATCAACTGTACTGCAGGGATGGAATGTAAGTCGCAGAAAATAGAGGTTGTGGTGGCAGCTGCAGATAGGTATTTGGGTGTTCGAGACTTGACAATAGAAGAGTTACAGGGTGTGTTAAGTGGTGGTGTATGGTAGTTATTATTATAATTTATTTTTTAATTGTGAGTGTAGTGTTAGATGGTAGGGTATTTGTTGTCTTGTTTTTTTTTTTAAGGAAAGTATAAAGGGAGTTATACTCCAGTCTAGTAGGTGGCGGTAATGCAACATTTATTGGATGCCAACTGCTGTTAAACCTCATCGCAGAAGAAGAATTAGACGTTCTAGTGTTGTTGGGGGCCAACTGTTTGTGTATAGCCAGATTTCCTGGCCTCAGTAATATATTGAGCTTTAGCTGAAGGCTGAAATGCAGTATTGATTTACAAGCAGTAATAAGAGCTCTACGGTAGTCTGGAATTGCTGGGAAAGTCTTGTTGACAGAGTCAACTACACTCCTGATCAAACATTCATTAATGTGAGCATGGTGAGGTCATACGTGGAGTAAGGGTTAGGATGATCCTTAATTCTGTTTCTCTCATCAATAGATTTGACAACGTGGAGTGGCACTCAAATCAAATCAAATTGTATTATTTTTTTATTTTTTTTTGTCATTTAGCAGACGCTCTTATCCAGAGCGACTTACAGGAGCAATTAGGGTTAAGTGCCTTGCTCAAGGGCACATCGACAGATGTTCACCTAGTTGGCTCGGGGATTAGAACCAGCGACCTTTCGGTTACTGGCACAAGGCTCTTAACCACTAAGCTACCTGCCGCCCGTATTTGTCACATACATGTGTTTAGCATATGTTATTGCGGGTGTAGCGAAATGCTTGTGCTTCTAGCTCCGACAGTGCAGTAATATCTAACAAGTAATATCTAACAATTTCACAACATCCACCCAATACACACAAATCTAGTAAGGAATGGAATTTAAGAATATATACATATATGGACAAGCAATGACAGAGCGGCATGGACTAAGATACAGTAGAATATTATAGAATAGAATACAGTATATACATATGAGATGAGTAGTGCAAGATATGTAAACATTATTAAAGTGACTAGTGTTCCATTTCTTAAAGTGGCCAGTGATTTCAATAGGCAGCAGCAGCCTCTAATGTGCTAATGTATTGTGATGGCCGTCACGCTATGTCAATTTGCTATTTCAATTGACAGTCAGCTGGATGGGCAGAGACGCACTGTCATGGAAAGAGACATTCTGACAGCTATTTAATAATTCATACATAACCATCATACCAGATGATCATACACATACTTTTTAACATTGATACAAGATTTCTGAGCTTGTGCTCACCTCGACTTTGTGATTAAGTTGAAAAATCGTCTGGGCTTTGTGGCAAAGCTGAGCAAAACAGGAGCTGAGACTTGTCATCTTTTGACGACCCTCGTAGGTGATGTCAGCTTGATCTGGATCGATTTCTCCCAGTAGTAAATCAACGTCAACAAACGCCTTGTCAAACTCCTTCTCCAGAACCTCAAGCCACCGAAACATGGACATCCCCGTGCCTGGACTGACCAGGGCCGTGCCCTGGGCTGACGGGGAGACACCGGCAGAGACAGACATTTCAACAGTGCAGGCTAAAGGCTAAAGCTAGCTGGCTAACCTAGCCGCTTCCCTTCACAAATAAAAACAGCGCTTTGCCTTTGTTTGTTTCTGCCTCTCTTTGTACGTTTACTGAGTCGAAATACTTGAGTTACACCTTACTCTAAATGTCAAAATCATACGAAACAGTTACGTTTCAGAAAAGACTAGCTAAATTGAATTAATTTGGTTCGTTCCCAAGCCCTAATCATACCAGGAAATCCGAAATCGGATACGGATCATAGATATCAGAGACGGAACAGGAAGCGAGACATCTCACTCGCTCTTTTTTTCTGGTTCATATACAATCAATGAACTAAGGCTACGCGGACCAGACCCAGCTGTTAATGCATTGGTGCCTATGAGAGAAACACCCCTTAAGCAGAGCGGAACTGTGACCATTTTTTCCAATGGTAAACGGCCTGAGTGTGACATCTTCATTTACCCACCACATTTGATAGCTATGAATCGACTACAACAGCCTGCCACACAGCAGAGAAAAAGCAATCGATAGCAGAGATAGTCGATCTCTGTTGAGCTTTGGGACAGTTTACTGCGAAGAGGCGAAGCAGAGTAAAACTGCTGGAATTCCAGTGTTGGTAGAAGGAAACGTCACAACTGTATCAAGCAAAGAAAAGGCAAATGTCCTAGGTGGTGCGTTTGCAGCGGTTCATAGATGTGAGCACCTGTGTTATGAGAGTAAGAGGAGACGTAGGGAAAAGTTAAAGGAGCATGGACATGTCTTAATGAGAAAAGGGGAGTCAGGTGAAGCAATGGCTGCAGAGTTCTCTACCCTTACAAAAAAAGATTGCAGTTTTGAAACTGCAGTAAAAGTGCTGTAACTGCAGTTGACTGTGGTATTTTGGACGCAGTAATTGCAGAATAAATGCAGTGTACTGCACTCTTACTGCAGTTACACTGCAAAATTACTGCATAAAAAAAACGTATTTTGGACACAGTATTTGCAGCATACTGCAGTTATACTGCAGTGCACTGCAGTTATACTGCACTCTGTGGGGATCTATTTTCTTACAACTAGATGTGAAGCCTAGCTTAGAAAGAATACATTAATGATTAAACATAATAGATTTGTGCTGTACTGATATAGATTGTTTAACATAACAAGCTGTGATTAATGTGAGGAACCGTTAGGGGGTAGGCTGAGACAGACTTGTGACTCTCACACACACACACTGCCTCTTTGTTAAACCGCTCAAGGACATGTGTTCTGCTTCAATGAAGAAGAACAAACTATGTCTGAGGTTGCTGACTTGAGACAAGTTGTAAAGATAACAACTAATGCCCGGCAACAGTGAAGCGCCAAGGGGCTGGGACCAGCCTGTGCGCCATCGATAGGTTGGGTAAGTTTAAACCACACCCAGCCTCTACTCTGACAGGCCCAGCAGGGAGCGGGAACTATCTCTGTCAGAGTATTTAAAGAAGAACTTATAACAATAGCTCAGTTCTCTGACTGCCCTGCGTGGTTTTTCAGTGGGCCCGTATATACGAACATCATATTTACCATTCAAGTGTTTGCATTAATTAAAATACTAGTCTATTTTAGAAGACGTGTATTGACCTCTTTTTGTTCCTATACCAGATTTGAATTGATGCAACTTAACAACTCTGACTGCAATCTTTTTTCGTAAGGGTATGTTTGAGATGACAAGAGCGTTGGAGGGCTGCAGGCGGACTGCTCCTGGAGAAGATCGGGTGGAGAGCCCTGCGGTTGCGGGCGGGGCAGTTGCCGTACCAGGAGGTGATACAGCCCGAAAGGATGCTCTCAATTGTGCATCTGTAAAAGTTTGTGAGGGTTTTAGGTGCCAAGACAAATTTTCCTCCTGAGGTTGAAGAGACGCTGTTGTGCCTTCTTCACCACACTGTCTGTGTGGGTGGACCATTTCAGTTTATCAGTGATGTGTACGCCGAGGAATTTTAAGCTTTCCACCTTCTCCACTGCGGCCCCGTTGATGTGGATAGGGGGGTGTTCCCTCTGCTGTTTCCTGAAGTCCACGATCATCTCCTTTGTTTTGTTGACATTGAGTGAGAGGTTATTTTCCTGGCACCACACTCCCAGAGCCCTCACCTCCTCCCTGTAGGCTGTCTCGTCATTGTTGGTAATCGAGCCTACTACTGTTGTGTCGTCTGCAAACTTGATGATTGAGTTAGAGGCGTGCTTGGCCACGCAGTCAAGGGTGAACAGGGAGCACAGGAGGGGGCTGAGCACGCACCCTTGTGGGGCCCCAGTGTTGAGGATCAGTGAAGTGGAGGTGTTGTTTCCTACCTTCACCACCTGGGGGCGGCCCGTCTGGAAGTCCAGGACCCAGTTGCACAGGGTGGGGTTCAGACCCAGGGCCTCGAGCTTAATGATGAGCTTGAAGGGTACTATGGTGTTGAATGCTGAGCTATAGTCAATGAACAGCATTCTTACATAGGTATTTCTCTTGTCCAGATGGGATAGGGAAGTGTGCAGTGTGATGGCGATTCCATCGTCTGTGGATCTATTGGGGTGGTAAGCAAATTGAAGTGGGTCTAGGGTGGCAGGTAAGGTAGAGGTGATATGATCCTTGACTAGTCTCTCAAAGCACTTCATGATGACAGAAGTCAGTGCTACGGGGCAATAGTTTAGTTACCTTTGCTTTCTTGGGTACAGGGACAATGGTGGCCATCTTGAAGCATGTGGGGACAGCAGACTGGGATAGGGAGAGATTGAATATGTCCGTAAACACACCAGCCAGCTGATCTGTGCATGCTCTGAGGACGTGGCTAGGGATGCCATCTGGGCCGGCAGCCTTGCAAGGGTTAACACACTTAAATGTCTTACTCGCGTCGGCCACGGAGAAGGAGAGCCCACAGTCCTTGTTAGCGGGCCGCGTCGGTGGCACTGTATTATCCTCAAAGCGGCCAAAGAAGGTGTTAAGCTTGTCTGGAAGCAAGACATCGGTGTCCGTGACGTGGCTGGTTTTCCTTTTGTAGTCCGTGATTGTCTGTAGACCCTGCCACGTACGTCTCGCATCTGAGCCATTGAATTGCAACTCCATTTTGTCCATATACTGACGTTTTGTCTGTTTGATTGCCTTGTGGAGGGAATAACTACACTGTTTGTATTCTGCCATATTCCCAGTCACCTTGCCATGGTTAAATGCGGTGGTTCGCACTTTCAGTTTTGCGTGAATATATGGTCAGGATATAGGTAGGGTGTCTGAGTTTAAGTTTTTAGGTATGTGGTTTAATGAGAGGCTTACGTGGAAGAGACATGTTGAGTATATTGAAATTAAGTGTAGGAAGGTGCTGAACCTTATGAAGGCAGTGGCAGGATATGATTGGGGGTCGGATAGACAAACACTGTATATGTACCAGGCATTGATCAGGTCATCTTTGGATTATGGGTGCTTTGTATATGGATCGGCAGCCAAAACAGTACTACAGTGCCTGGATAGGACACAGTCAAGTGCCCTGAGATTGTTTGTGGGTGCCTTCAGGACGACACCTGTTGAGGTATTGTAGGTGGATAGTGGGGAACTGCCACTGAGGATAAGGCGGGACAAACTTGCATTAGCATACTTGGCGAGGTTGAAAGGGAGTTCAGAAGGACATCTTGCGGTCACAGCAACTGGGGAATGCTGGGAGCGAGGAGGGGGTAAGCAGAGTATGTACTGGGGGAGAAAGAGATAAGGCCGGTTTTGCATTGGGGAATGTTTCTTCGTGGCGGTTAAGAGTGCTGTGAGGAGAGGGGTTAGATATATATAACTCCTGAGTGGCGCAGTGGTCTAAGGCGCCGCATCGCAGTGCTAACTGTGCCACTAGAGATCCTGGTTCGAATCCAGGCTCTGTCGCAGCCGGCCGCGACCGGGAGACTCATGGGCGGCGCACAATTGGCCCAGCGTCGTCCAGGTTAGGGGAGGGAATGGCCGGCAGGGATGTAGCTCAGTTGATAGAGCATGGCGTTTGCAACGCCAGGGTTGTGGGTTCGATTCCCACGGGGGGCCAGTATAAAAAAAAAAAAAAAAAAAAAATATATGTATTCACTAACTGTAAGTCGCTCTGGATAAGAGCGTCTGCTAAATGACTAAAAATGTTAAAAAATGTAAAATATTCAGGTCCAGCTGGGCCGCAGGGACATCAAGTCCTTGATCTAGGCAAAAGGGCTCAATCTTTGGCAAAGGGAGTGGGATGCTGGTAGTAAGGGGAGGCAATTCTATCGCGTGCACCGGTCAGTAAAGGACGAGGTGGGCAGTATGCGATGTAGGAGAGAGGAAGTTGTGTGGAGTAGACTACGGTTTGGGCACACAGGTTTGAATACCACGTTGTGGATGATAGGGAGACACGGGTCTGTGTGATGAGTGTCCATTGTTAGGGCGGAGACCATCTCGTTACTATATACAGTATCTCTTCTGCCACTCCTTGCACTGGGAGCAGGGCCTAAAATGAACTTTTTTGTATACCAGCCACTGTGGCAGGTAGATTAGAACATATATTTTTTACCAGGTAAAATATTGTTTGTGCAAAAATTACACCGAAAAACAGATGAGGATGCTTAGTAATGTTTCTAAAACAATACATGTATTACTAGTAAGATGAAATGTGGTATATTGCTCAATTTAATTTAAAGATGCACTATGCAGAAATCGCTCCGGCATTTCCTGGTTGCTAATATACTAATAGTTTGCCTAATTTCAGTTTGTGACAAAACAAGCAAGTATAGTGTAGAGAATCATTGTACCATCTAAACCGCTGTGAAATATATTTTCCGTAACCAAAAATATTGTATTTTCAGCTGTTTGAAGTTGGCGTACAAACCGAAAGTAAGACACAAAAACAAAACTTAAGAACGGGAAGCATAGAAATAGTGCACATAGAAGAGATCTACTGCGTCTTACACTTGATTTCAATGAGAATGACAGATCTATATCTCACATTTCGATGTGAATTTGGTCGGGTCACCCATAAATGTACATATTGCACAGGGTTTGGAACCTGTTCAGGGAGCAGAACCGAAAAACCATAAAATAACTAAATTATTGAAGGAACCGGGAACGAAAGTGATCCATACTGTTCTGGAACAGAACCGTTATTCCAGTGTCTGCCTGCAAGCTGACAATCTTTGCCAGGGTGTGCATGCAGTGGTGGAAAAGGTATGCAATTGTCATACTTGAGTAAAAGTAAATATACCTTAATAGAAAATTACTCGAGTAAAAGTGAAAGTCACCCAGTAAAAGTCTAAAAGTATTTGGTTTTAAATATACTATATAGTATCAAAAGTAAATGTAATTGCTA